GAAGGCGAACTGGAGAATTCGAAGAAAGAAGCGAGCAAGCTAAAAAACTGAACGGAGTTTGGTGAAGTGAGTGCAAATTGTCGATTCTTCATAAGTTTAATATCTTTTTGCTTTTTACGAAATAATTTTGAAAGTACTGAACGAGGATCAAGATACATTTTTATCCTAAGTTGCTTTGCCTTAATGTGAAACCTCAACTGCAAGTAAACATTTTCTGTCGAGCATCGACAAAAAAAATTATATGAGTTCCTTTTTTTATTTTCAGAAAATCTAATGAGCGAGAGAGAGCATTCAAGTTAGAGAAGGATCAGTGCAAAATGGAGGTCAGTATGGTTTACAAAAACAGTTTCTTATAAGAAAATGATGCCAAAAACTTTCATTAATACTCCACGTTCCTATAGAGCTTAATGTTTTACTTCTGTTGTATCGATAAACGATTTCCAAGGAATCTTTTAGACGAAAAATAATTTTGGATATATTTTCTAACCCTAGATAAATGATCTTAAAATGCAAATGAGTGGCTTGACAGAAGTACTAAACTATCAACAAGACATGGCGGATGAGTTGGTACAACGCGAGCCAGAGAAAGTCAAGAAATTGAAACGTCAGAAGAAGGAATTGACTGACAAGTATCAAGAGAAGGAGAAGCAGTTAGAAGGAATGAAGAAAAGTTTACAAGAAATGAAAGTTGCCTTTGAAAGCAAGAAAACCGAAAACAAAGAAATCAAAGAGGCAATGCTGGAATTGAAAGGCGAAAACATCAAACTCCTCAGTGAAAATTCTCTACTTGAAGGTCGTCTTGAAGAGCAAGAAAATAACCTTTCCAAGAAAGAAGACGAAATTTTGGATCTCAAACAAGAGATAAAAGGGCTTAAAAACAAAATGCAAAAAGACAAGACATGCATTGCTCGACAAGCATCGATCATCTGTAACCAGGAGGCAACGATCGAGCAGATGGAGGTTGATGCAGTCATAAAGGGTCTGAGAATATGGGAGCTCAAGCATGAAATGAAGGAAGCCAACACCAAAGTGACAAAAGAAGTGGCTGAGATTACTGTAAAGAACGTCATCAGGGAAGCAGGAGACAAGGCTCAAATTTTGAATCTAGAAAACAAAAATATCTCACTCAGGTCAGAAAATGAATCTTTGGTGCAGAAAACAAAATGGCTGGAGAAATTAGTTACCGAGCTGCAGGACAATGCACAAAACATGGCAGCCACAGCTGAATCAAAGATTAGAGAAATGGCTAACGAAATTCAAGAAGCCACTACGAGGGCGAAAACTACAGAAAAGAGGGCAAACGAGCTTGAATCATGTCTTAACGAGACTACTGAATCATTGGCAAATGCTACGGAGCAAATCGAAGTCACAATGCAAGAAAAAGATGCCCTTCTTGTCAGCCTGAAGGAGAAGGACCAGACTTTGAAATGGCAGCTCCGTGAAAACAAGCAAATGAGGTACGAGGTTGACATTCAAGACATGATGGTTGAAAACATGGCAGCGAGGCTTAAAAACATTGCACAGATTTGCTTTGGTACCCCAGAGCTTAATTGGGGCAGTGAAGAGAGGTTGGATCAAATGATCGAAAGAATACAAGGGATGCAGGAAACATTGGCAAAAGTGGAAGTGAAAAAGAAGCCTTTTGTTAAAAGACTTTTTAAAAGATTTCGCAGTGCAAACAGACTTTAACAAATATAAGACAACGTTAACACCCATATAGTATTTAAACTTTTTTCTAAGTATTGTAATTGATTAAAATTTTTTTTTTGGAAAGAAAATTTTCTTCAAATTTTTTTGTATATTTTATAGTCTCTCTCATTCGGGCTCAGTGTGGATATTGCTAAGCTGCATTCACTATTTTGATTCAATTCAGTTTCGTTTGAGGTCATTTCAGTATTAATTTCTAACAATCAAGTATATTTATTCTTCCAAAACTCCTTTGGAAAAGATCATAACAACGCTTCAGATAGGGTGTCTGTTTAAAAAAGCAGAGAGATGTGTGTGGGGGCTAGATGAAGAAAATTCCTAATGAAAGTCTAGGAAATGTTATTATACAAGAACCTCATTCTACAAAGCAAACTTCAAAGATTTTGTTGCGTTTTAAAAGCAGAGGACTTGAAATGGAACTTATTTTTCTTCAATGCCACCTTCGCCTTGAATAATATTAAATTCAAGCTTAGTGGTGTTTCCAATCTTTCTCCTTCTACTTTCGAAAACAATTCTCATAACTTCTGAAAACATATTTTGTAAATCATACAAACGACAACAAATGTCTTGTTCCTGTTGCATAATATAGATTATTTATGGGGAAGATTTTCAAAGGTGCTGATAGATTCAACATGATAGGAAGAGGAGTAAAGACTTTGTCAAACGGGATCCAATGTGATTTGATATCATGTACTTATTTCGCTGCAAGCATTGCAAAAATCTTCGTGAATGCATTTATGAAAGGGCAGTTGATGCACAGCAATATGTGAACAGTTTCTGCTTACCTATATTCATAGCTAGCCATGCCAATGCAAACCACTCTGTTGAACGTCACTCACATAGAGGCTTTATAAGACAGGGCTCTATTTTCTTTTTGGGTCAGAAGATGATGAAGACTTGTGCTTTGACCTGCCTTCACTGAAAGGAAAAAACAAATTTTTGAACAACAGCATCAATAGGGTTTTCAAAATTGAAGCAAATAAGAAAAAGTTTGAAGGAGTGCATTCGGTAGCTTTTGCAAATTGAACTAATCTCTAAGACTTTAAAAGACTTTAATAGCTCAAGCAAAAAGGCTCTTTAACGAGAGGTAAAATGTGATTCCCATTGATAGGGGAGAGAAAAAAGGGAATGCAAAAAGGAGGGAACGTAGGACGGTAACAATAAAAAGTAAAGGCAGAAAGATAAATCGAATCTGAGGGGAATGTCAGTAAGAGAGCAACGGGGAAGATTGACTGAAAGGAAAAGAGAAAAACAAGGCTAGAGTAGTGTTAAAAGACACTAGACTGGTCTTTGCTAAGATTAAATCCTTAGGCACTTAATGTCTTCATCAATCAGGTCCTTAATGAATTTGACATCACATTCGTTTTTAAGACCAACAACTAAAGGTAAGATATCACGTATACAATCAATCTGACGTCACAAACGGTTTTGATTGCTATAAAAGGGGATGCGTACAGCAAGAGATTACTTGGCGAAAAGTATCGTTATCTAAGCGGTGTTCTTCAGCAATCTTCTACAAGTTGTGAATATAGTTTGTACAAAAGATCTACGTGTATCTACGTGAGCTGTTGTTGGTGATTTGTGCGTTACTAACATCGGATTATGATCAACATGTCGTTGAAAAGTGAAGAGAAAAAGGCCGGTGGTGACTCGACTTTGGTGAAGGAGCTAATGAGCGAACTGGAGAATTCGAAGAAAGAAGCAAGCCAGCTAAAAGAACTGAACGGAGTTTTGGTGAAGTGAGTGCAAATTGTCGATTCTTTATTAAGTTTAATATCTTTTTGCTTTTTACGAAATAATTTTGAAAGTACTGAACGAGGATCAAGATACATTTTTATCCTAAGTGTCTTTGCCTTAATGTGAAACCTCAAATGCAAGTAAACGTTTTCTGTCGAGCATCGACAACAAAAAATTATATGAGTTCCTTTTTTTATTCCAGAAAATCCAAGGAGCGAGAGAGAGCATTCAAGTTAGAGAAGGATCAGTGCAAAATGGAGGTAAGCATGGGTTACCAATACAGTTTCTTATAAGTGAATGATACCGAAAACTTTCATTAATACTCCATGTTCCTATAGAGCTTAATGTTTCACCTCTTCTGTATCGATAAACGATTTCCAAGGAATCTTATAGACGATAAATAATTTTGGATATATTTTCTGATCCTAGATAAATGATCTTAAAATGCAAATGAGTGGCTTGACAGAAGTACTAAACTATCAACAAGACATGGCGGATGAGTTGGTACAACGCGAGCCAGAGAAAGTCAAGAAATTAAAACGTCAGAAGAAGGAGTTGACTGACAAGTATCAAGAGAAGGAGAAGCAGTTAGAAGGAATGAAGAAAAGTTTACAAGAAATGAAAGTTGCCTTTGAAAGCAAGAAAACCGAAAGCAAAGAAATCAAAGAGGCAATGCTGGAATTGAAAGGCGAAAACATCAAACTTCTCAGTGAAAATTCTCTACTTGAAGGTCGTCTTGAAGAACAAGAAAATAACCTTTCCAAGAAAGAAGACGAAATTTTGGATCTCAAACATGAGATAGAAGAGCTTAAAAACAAAATGCAAAAAGACAAGACATGCATTGCTCGACAAGCATCGATCATTTCTAACCAGGAGGCAACGATCGAGCAGATGGAGGTTGATGCAGTCATAAAGGGTCTGAGAATATGGGAGCTCAAGCATGAAATGAAGGAAGCCAACACTAAAGTGACAAAAGAAGTGGCTGAAATTACTGTAAAGAACGTCATCAGGAAAGCAGGAGACAAGGCTCAAATTTTCAATCTGGAAAACAAAAATATCTCACTCAGGTCAGAAAATGAATCTTTAGTGCAGAAAACAAAATGGCTGGAGAAATTAGTTACCGAGCTGCAGGACAATGCACAAAACATGGCAGCCACAGCTGAATCAAAGATTAGAGAAATGGCTGACGAAATTCAAGAAGCCACTACAAGGGCGAAAACTACAGAAAAAAGGGCAAACGAGCTTGAATCATGTCTTAACGAGACTATTGAATCATTGGCAAATGCTACGGAGCAAATCGAAATCACAATGCAAGAAAAAGATGCGCTTCTTGTCAGCCTGAATGAGAAGGACCAGACTTTGAAGTGGCAGCTCCGTGAAAACAAGCAAATGAGGGACGAGATTGACATTCAAGACATGATGGTTGAAAACATGGCAGCGAGGCTTAAAAACATTGCACAAATTTGCTTTGGTACCCCAGAGCTTAATGGGGACAGTGAAGAGAGGTTGGATCAAATGATCGAAAGAATACAAGGGATGCAGGAAACATTGGCAAAAGTGGAAGTGAAAAAGAAGCCTTTTGTTAAAAGACTTTTTAAAAGATTTCGTAGTGCAAACAGACTTTAACAAATATAAGACAACGTTAACACCCATATAGTATTTAAACTTTTTTCTAAGTATTGTAATTGATTAAAAGTTTTGTTCGAAAAGAAGATTATCGTGAGAAAAATTTTGTTTATTTACAATTCCTTTCTTTTTTCTGGCTGAGTTTGGATATTGTTAGGCTGCAATCATTATGGCGATTCAATTAAGTTTCATTTGAGGTCATTTCTTCATCAATTTCTAACAAGGGCTATATCAGAAATATAATAGAAAGAAGCAAAGGTTTTTACTCAACATGTGAGTTTGCTTTCTTAAAATCAGTTCTTGTTCATGCAAATATCCAGGAAGAAAGTCATGAGATAACAATGGAAGATAGGATGGTTGCCTCCAGAGATGGAAAAAATTTTCTTCTTTCTGGGAACCTAAGAATCTGGCTCAAAACTTTCTGCAAGATTTAGGGGGTAGACAAATAAACTTTCTGTTTGTGCCTATATCTCTATACTTAGTTGATGTATAAAAGAGAGCAAACTTAGTTTTAAGAAGTATGATACTTCTCATTTGAATGTTCAATCTGTTTCTATTTTGATGCTTAATTTGTTTTTTTTCTCTCGAAGTATTTCTATAGAAGGTTAAATCAAATGCATAAAATTATCAGGCAATCAACTTCTTAACATAATCAGTGTCATTTAACATCGGAGATCTTGACTATTGTTCCAAAACTGTCATTCTCAACATATTAGATATGCCTTTATTTAATGCATAAATGCACATAAGAAAGAAATCAACTTTAACTAGAAATTGATTCATTCAATCAATCATCATGATGGAAAATCAAAAGGAAAATCCATGCAAAAATCTCCAAACATAGTTTCAGAAGAGTTAGGGCAAACTCATTTGAATTGTATGGTGCAATTTATGGATAAGGCTTTGCCTAATCTTTTGACAAGTGAGAAGCAATATGTGGTTGAAATGGAGTCCTAGCATGCAACAAATTAATTTAACTAAGCATATTAACTTATGATCAATGCTGCTCACACCATGGTGTCAGAAATGTTTTCTGTAAAAGTAGATTCAAGTCTCTATATTATTCTCAGTCTTAATCATGGTTTGTCTTGAAAGCTCAGCTGCTAAAAAAATTCTGATCGTGAGTGGCTAAGATTTCTGTGAGATGGTGAATGTAAATAATGTGCACCAAGAAATTTCTTTCCAATGAAAAGAGACTAATTCCCACAGTCCTTTGGCAGCTCAAATTTAGCTGCTCACAGGCGAGTTGAAAATAATACTTTCTGTTAATTTGACTTAACATTTGTCACCAGATTTTTACATTTACTTTAACACTTCAAAAATTTTCTGTGAAACTTTCTGCTACATTTTTATCTAGAAAAATTTCTGGGAACTATGTTCCCAGGTTCCGATACTTTTTCCACCTCTGGTTGCCTCTAGGATTTTATGGGGACTGGAGCTTAGCGATCCTAAATCAATTACTAAATCAACTGTAGAAAGCCAATGAGAAATTCAGGAGCTCTGTTCCTGAAGGGGCACATGAGAAGGAAAGTAACTAAACTAGACGAGGGAGATGTTGATAGAAGTTGTAATTGAATTTAAACAAGAAAAGTTTTCTTCTATATGACACAATCGTCGAAAGTGATTTGTTCTCATTTAGCTGTTCAGCTGTAGGCATTGTATAAATCTCAGTGAATGCCTTTATGAAAAAGAAGTTGAGACACAGTGATATGTAATCAATGTCTGCTTACCAATAATCTTAGTTAGGAATGCCAACATCACCAACTTCATTGGATGTGAAACAAATAAAGGCCTCATAAAATAAGGTTCTATTTCCCTTCTGGGTCAGAAGATGATGAAGACTTGTGCTTTCACCTGCCAGTGAAGTTTTCGCTATACCTCATTCCTTCTTTGGTAAACGGATTATTTCCTGTAAAAATTTAGCAAAATGAACCCTTTTATGGTTAGAGCCATTGTTAAAAAAAATAAGAACATGCAAGGTTTAATTTATTTCAATTCATAAGGCAGTCAAGATCATAAAGCAGAAAAGTATAGAGACCATTGCACTTACCTGATATGAAAAAATTTAGGAAATAAACTGAAGATGAAAAGCTGAAACTACAGTTTTATTCCTGATTTTGTGTTGCAAGATACTACCAGGGAAACTTGGCCTTTTCCAAGAAAAATGAGTCGTGGGGCAAACCAAACATTCAAGAGGGAATTACTTTGAGTATTTGCATATTAACTTAACACTTAAAAATGGCTTTGAAATGAAGCAAAAAAAATTTAAACTGCTTAAGCTTCTGTTTGACACTCTAAGGAATATAAAATTTACATCAGAATAATTATCAAAAATTTTTGAAACTAGGAGCAATCTGTGTGTTGAGTGTGCAAGCATGAAACTCGGAGTATCGAGCAAACATGTCTTACTTCTAGCTCAACTTATTTAACACAATCAAAGATTGACAAGGAAATATATATACACATACATAGCTACAGACCTGTCAACCTAAAATTTCCATAACCTGGAGATTTTAGATTTTTGCTTAAAAAGCAGGGAGATTTGGCCAAAAACAGGAAGATCTCTGGAATTTGTTGAATCAAGAAAAAATAATAGAACTTTATTAGTTCTATAATTTTATCTTGGTTGAATTTATAAACAACATACCTATAAAAAGTCATGCTGGGCAGACAAGTAAGGACAAAAAATATAATAGTTAACTTTAGAAGAATGGTTTTTTTTCGAATTTTATTATTGATTCATGAACTCTAACAAAAAAGTAACAAAGAACATTATTGCACAGAAGAAGAAAACAGGGAGAAAATCCTGAAAAATTTTGAGACCCGGAGAAAGCAAGCAAAACCTTAGGTCTCCTGGCATAACCGTGAAAGTTGACTGCTTTGTACTAGTTGTGATTTTAGAAAGCCAATCAGAAATGGAGCCAGTGACTGCATGTTTCTTTCATAAGTAACAAAATCAAATGTACCTGAAGATAACAGTTTATTTTGGCCTATAGTGGAAACAAAATTGTGTCAAGATATTCTGATAGACTTTGTTGGAGTAACTATAATATAACAAAATTTATACCGCTTAGTCTATATCTAATGCCAAAGAAGTTCTATTACCCGCAGAATGATGTATTAGATAACAAATTCACCAGATGCAATCAATGTTAGAAACTATTTAAAACTGTGTCTCAGACAAAATAGAAATTATAATAACTTCGCCTTCATCCTACCTAGGACAGGCCCAGACTATTTCAATTATTCATTTTTCCCTTGAACCATAAGAGACTGGACTGTTCTCCCAAACCAAGTTGTAAAAGCATCAACTATGAACTCATTTAAGACACTGTTGTCAACAGTATAGCAAAACTTTAAACTAATTCCTTTTTGCTGATTAGTCGCCTTCTTCTTTCTTTTTATAAATACTTTAGGTCCCTGCATGTGAGCTCAGTAACCACCAATCCCTCACTTTTTTTCATTGTAATTCAACCCAACTAAGTTTTGTCAAAGGGCTGCACATGCAGTGGCCAATCGTATTTTATCAGCGGAGCCCTCAATATTGAGGTTGCTGAGTAACCTATGTTAATTTAAATGTAGATGAATGGAGGATCAACATTATAATTTGAAACAGTTTTAACACCATCATCTTTAAACCACATATGATGTTGTGTTACAGAGAATTGCGAGATCGAGTCTTTCATGAGGTAAAACCTATGAAGGAAGACCGTTACAAAATAACAGAGAGTTAGATATATGCTAGTGGAAGCAAGTCGAAGCTAGGCACATGGCTTTGATAGCACTGGTTAAGATGTTTTCCATAGGCATATGTTCCCATCATCAGCAGACCAGATTACGTTGTTTTCCCTTTGGCCTAAGCTCTTTCTTTGAGATAGAACTTTTTTAATTGGTGATCTTACTGTAGACCACAAATATGCATCTTACAATTAATTTGATGCTGGAAAAACATAAGTTTGAGCCTTGGTGTGATTATAGTATAATGATGTTGCACACAAAACAACAACTAGGCGGATAGGCCTATCCAGTTTTATAAAATCAAACAACAGATTGAAATAAACAATTGAGACTTTCGACTCACCAAGCAAAAAACTTGATTGTTTTTCTTTTCTTGATATCATTTGTGACAGATCATCCAATAAATTAAACGCAGTTTTACCAGCGAGTTTCACTCCTTTCGACTTTAAAAAATATATCCGCCATCTTTTTAGGCGCCCTCATTTCGAAAATTTGACCAGGTACTTCATGTCCATTTCACGACCAATAATCGAGTGACGTGTTGTCTACCCTTGACCACAGGTGGCAAAGAAGAACAGAATAGGAGAAAATTTTCCGTATTCTTTGACAGAATCTTAGTTGGACAATTTAATGGTACATCATTGAACCAATACTATCCCTGGTTTTCCCCAATTTTTAGGGGAATCTTTTTAAAAATCGGGGCTACAAAAATCCAGTGTGCAAAAAATCGTCGACTTTGTTGTGAAGTCAAAGGCATGAGATAAAAGAGAGACTGTCTTTACCAAATGGTAACGTCTTTTTGCTACAAAAAGTATAAAAATTCAACCTCATACAAAGACTAAGAAAATTTCACATATGAATATCAAATTATCTAGATTTCTTAAACTTTCCTGTATTAATATGTTTGAACGATACCAAAAAGGGTTTTTAGGCATCTTTAAAGTCTTTAATGAATAAAAATTTGGCAAAATCGTAGGATCGCCTTTACATTCCTGGTTATTTTGCACTTAAGTAAAAAAAATTCATCCCTAATGGTCAAAAACAGCCTAAATAGACCTCCCTTATTTGGATGGAAATTTCTTAAAATGCTCTCCAGGTGTCACTTGCATTGACAGGGCCCGCGCCACAAAGGGGGGCCAGAAGGACCATGGCCTTCCAAATTTTTCGCTAAATGAGAAATTAAAATCAGCTTGAATTATTTATATAGATAAACATTTAGATAACAAAAAATACATTGAACAAATATCAAAAAGAAAAACAGCGTGAGCAAAATGTTTGCCACAATTGGGGCTAAGATAAAACTTTCTTTACACTGCTGGTCCCTTCAGCTCAGGTCAGTGGCGCGGGCCCTACATTCTAAGGAGCAAACCATAGCTTTAAAAACTGGCTAAAACAACTGCCTTAAGCCTGGCTGCCCTCAATTTCAACCAAACTAAATGATATCCGGAAGACGCCCTAAAGTTCGGTTTTAAACTCAATTCCCGATCCTTCAGTAGCCCGGAGTTCATTCTTTTCTTTCCGAAGGTTACTCAATATTTTCTGGTATTTTCCTCTGTTGTCCTCAATCTTGTCCTCTTGGAGAGTAAACCAGAGCGGCAAAGCGCATCTTCTTCCGGTCCTAATTCCAAGAACGCCATGAATATTATCGAGTCCTCCCTTAAAGGCAACCATGCGGCCACATTTCGGTTTGACAGATGCCTAAAAATAATCAGTTCTTAAATATGGCTGCCTTTCAAAATTTTCAAATATAGAAAGGGATAGTTGTAGTTAATTGTTTCCCGTTTAATTATATTAATGGAAATGCATTATGACCATATCTAAAGGAAATAATTTCAATATGCTTTACTGAAAGGAGCTACGCTGAAACTGGAAATGTCTTGCAAATTGTAAAATGGTATGGGTGCTAAATCCCGACCGAATCCCCGGCTCCTCCACTGGCCTCATCCTTGGAACAGAACCTTGTAAATATTTCGGGGAAAATCCGAATCAACGCAATTAGAAATGACATAAACATTCATGGCACAATGGTCTCGAAACTGTTTTGGATCAAAGACATATAATAAAATAAAGACCAGACAAACCTGTTGTGTTCCATTCGGATGTGCAAATATAAATTCTCCACCTTCGAAACCATCGTTGAGGTACAACACTCCACTAAGAAAAACAAAAGCTGCTATCACTGACCTATACTCTAAATTGAGAATTATATTCGACACAACTGGCCTACCAACAAGATAGACATTAGCGTTGGTACACTTGTTTTAGTGAATTGCTAAGGCATTGTATGTATGTAGAAGTTTGTTCGATAAATGTCGAATACCAGGCGCCTGGTAGCGACTAAGATTGGTCCAGATCAGAACGATTATGATTGGTCAACATCAGAACGACAATGCTTGGTCCAGATTAGAACGACTATGATTGGTCCAGATCAAAACGACAATGGTTGGTCCAGATTAGGACGACTATGATTGGTCCAGATCAGAACGACAATGGTTGGTCCAGATTAGGACGACTATGATTGGTCCATATCAAAACGTGCTTGCTGATTGACCATACAATGATCAACGAATTCATTCTCCGGATCAGAAGAGACGTGACACAATTATTTACATGGACTAGGCACGTTAAAGTCGAGAACAACAAGAAGCAGAGAAGAGATGGAAAGGTGGTTAATTGGATCTAGTGAAACAAAAATAACATATGTTTACTAGAAGGTAGTAGACTGTCCAATGGATTTTCTACATCTGCTGTGATAATAACAACAAAAAACAGCAGACAGAAAGGACGAAAAATGACAAGGAACGCTTCAATATAAATAAAAATAATCTAAAAACAAAAATGAAAAGACCAAGTTAACTAATATTTTGCCCTAGTATGCAGAGCTTCATCAGGGTAAAGTACAAACAACATAAATTTGAATAATGCAAAAATAGGAGATATCGTGATATTTGACGATACGATGGTAAATGGCACGTGCATAGAATAAAAAGGAAGCATTAAAACCAAAAGGGATGCATCGAAAGATGTAGATGCATGGACGTAGCCTTCAAATCCTTCAGGTCCACATCAACATAAGATTTAATCCATCATCAAGGATCCATCATATGTTATCCATCAGTTTTCATCAAGTATAGTGCAGTAAATTGGCCTATTTTTTCAAAGGTTCAAAGGTTGAAAAACTAGGACTAGTGCAAACGTTTCCTCACGAAGAACAAGCCAAATTTCGCCAGTCTTAAATTTCTCCAACTTTCTTACTAAGGTCTGAGGGTTAAAATGAGAGGATCTGGAATTCATTATTGAAAATCATGACATAAACACTAGAATAAAAATTTAGGTTCCACACAACTGCAGAAAACAGTCATGGAACTGTCAGTAAAGATCAACCACATTTATCTTACATTTCATATTCCTTACTAAATCGAACATATAAGAACAATAGGTGCATCTTGTTTGGCTAGACTTAGGTTGCCATACCTGAAGTCACGCCAAGTGTAAGCTGGTGACACTTTGGGACAAGTTCCAGGTCCATCCAAACCAAGAATACAATTATCCGAATGGACCGGGTGGCTTATGTGATCACCAGCTGCAGCTAAAAGGAAAACGTCTTGACGTAAGATACAACTAAAAAGATTGAAAGTTTAATGAATGATAAATTGCAAGTTAGAATTGGGTTTACAACAATCGGATATTGTGTTGCTAGTCGGGAAAACAAGACTGAATAGGAGGGCCAGAGGCTAACGTGAATCGCTTTCACAACAAAATAACAACTTAATTAAACGTCACAAAAACGTCTTTCGTGGAACAAGGAGAAAACCAGTGAAGAATTAGCAGAGCCAAAACTATTGCAAGAGAATCTACAGTGGATTAGCTTATCGGTTCATTATAAATCAACTTCAAATTGAATAAAACATTGTTTTTATCAGCAACCTTCAAATATTTACTTAATACAGTGCAAAAACAGAAGGTATTTCAAAACACGAGCCACCAATTTCGAGTTAAAGTTACCATCTCAAGGTAAATGAAAAAATCTTGTATGGAATATAAAATTAACATTCTACTTATATGCTAAACGAAAAAAAGGAGACCTTAGGAAATCTGCTGATAAATTATTTCTGACATATTGTTAAAAAATACTGAAAGGAATAAATCAGTAAAAAAAAAAAGTATTTAATTTAAATGTATTTGACATTATTGCAAAGTTCATCTGCAGTGGAAAATTCATCTGCGTGATACTTAAAGATTTCGAAAGAAGATCAATAAATCTGTAATTTATTACAAAACACGATTTCTTTCAAAACATGAACTGCATTTAATCCTTGCGATTTCACGACAGCTGTATTTTAAAAAACGCTATTCACTCCAAAATGACATGTAATGAAACAAACTGGTCCAGAAATGACATAAATATGAAATTACTGAAACTTACCTTCAGAATAAGCCGTTCTACAAACAAGATGGGTATATGCAATGTGTAATTTCTGCTTCAGCTCGAAGTATTGTTCTGTGAAGCTTCTCATTTTGTCACTTAGGTTTACATAGATCTCTGCCTCTTCCAGAGATATATCACCATTAACAGCTGCCTAAAATGGAACAAGTGGCATTTTAACGATGTATTTAAATAGCAACGATACAGTAGATAACGCAAATCATGAAAGAATGTCAACAAAGTTCAAGGAAGCATCCATCTCCCATGTGTTCGAAACATAACTTTGATGTCGCCCGACTTCATAGCTATATCAATATTTATTTTAAGGTTTCTTTAATACAATCTTCCTTGGATCATCAGAGAACGGCGAGGAAAAATAGAGCGAAAAGAACAACCAAAATAACTTGACCGGATAAATTATTTTAGTCTCATATTAAAATGTCATTCAGCAAAGTTTCTAACAATTGAGCTGAATCCCTTGCAGGATTTGATGCTTGAATACCCATATTCACAAAGCTCCAAAAATATCTAATATTAAATTGAAACTTGATACTTCATTTGACAATGTTCCACCTGGGAGCATTGCACAAGGAGCCTAACTTTACTATACTGAACTAAACAAAGTTGAAATGACCTTCAAAACATTTATTATAATTTTCAGACCAGTGGCATCAAATTGATACGGTACGAAGCAGTCACATAGATATCTTGCAACGGAGAAAAAAGCTTGACAATAGCTTGGAAAAGATTGGAAACATAACAAACAAGGGGGCCATTCCTAAAGAATATCAATAGTCCAATTTCTTAAAAAAAGAAGTTGCCGGAGCTGGAGGTACGATTGCTTGTTTATTCTTAATGAAGAGCCTCCTGTTTTGCAGGGGACTAATTATCAACTAAAAAGAACTTTAACAGGAAAGCCAGGTGGACAAATGACTTTCTGTAGATATTGTAAACAGTATGCAATGCAAATTAACAAGAAACGATGCAATAGTCAGAAGCATGACTGGTGGCATTAAAATAGATTTAACTTAGCAGAAATACCAAAACAGCATCTTTGATGTTGACTCCTTCAAAAGACTCCTTCTCTGTGAACGGGTGTTTTGGATCAGGATGGTTATGTTTGTACCCATCACCAAAATCTGATAGTTTCTAAAAGACAATAAAAGCATCATAAACAATAAACCCAAGGCATGGAGGGTCACATACAGTGGTCCATGACCCCATTAGAGAAAACCTTGCATGAACCACCCTTAATAATTCAAAAAATGTTGAATATAGTTTCTGGTCAATGGCACTTCAAGTTCTGAAATTTAACATTCATAGTTCCAAAGTTACCAAAAAGAATAAAAATTTCTATTCATGAAACTAAATACAACGTTTCTGAATGTAGATATTTGCCTAGCTGATATAAGGGCTTTAATTAGAAGGTAGATTCTATTGACAGATGTCCCAGATTGAGAAAACAAAGCCGGGACCTAACGAGTATACAAAAAGACATCCAAAGAAGTCTTCTGATCGATTTTTGATAATTAAATGGGAAAAATCTGAAACCATGCTTTTATAAATTAACTTCAGAATAAATTTTAGCTACAGGGAATTGACAGCAAATTAGAAGAAACTTTAATGGGAATATAATCTAATTTAATTTGAATATAGATATTAAGTTTAGAATAATTACATTCTGTTTATTCCAATTAAAGATAAAGGTTTGCTGGCCTGCTGATGTATTTCCATTTGCCTCTTCTCCGCAAAAGTCATTCGCAGCTGATTTTGTCTTTATATTGACCAATTTCTACATTTATGTCAAAAATCAATTTTAAATCTTCTTTTAAACAAATATTGGTTAGATAAAATGATTATAGAAGTTGATAAATGTTTATGTATACCAATATTGTATTTATGCTTCTGACGCATCGATTCTCTAGCTCAAATGATTCATTTTTCGATCCATCAGATTAATTATCTGTACACTAACTTGAACAACTGAAGTGTGCTCATCTATTTAAACCCTTCTCTTTATCAAGGTTGGAAAAAATACCGGTTTTTTAATTAAAATTAGATAACTTCTCAAATTTAGCATTTGCTAGAGTATATCAAATAAAATTATTCGTTGCAAATATTTCCGTCCTAAAACAATTGAACTAAAACTAAAACTTCATTAAACATGTCTATTAAACAAAATTTTTTTATCAATTTTATGATTTGCATTATATAATTTTAAAATATTTTTAAGTATTGTTTCATTTTCGCAATATGACAAATTACTTTTACTGGCAAAAGATATTCTTTCCAATGCTTTAGCTTTTTATATTCTCACGTTTTATTTTTCGAAGAGTGTCAGACGAAAAGCTTAAGTATATTTCAAAATGTTTGCTTTTTTCAAAGCAATTTTTAAATCCTGTACCACAGAAAGATTGCTTTCTTTATCTTTTGTTGATAACTTATTTTTAAAGCTCGTAATTTAAAGACTAAACAATTTAAAAACAAGCTAGGAAGCAGTTTTAAAATGTTTTACTTCGGCATTGCTCTACTTAAAAGCTCTCCAACATAGTTTGCGACGCCGTAAAGCGCAATGTTTTCAACTAACACCAGTAAATCAAAGTATAAATAAAAATTAGACGCTTAGTTTGGGAAATTTGCAGGATGAGCAGGAGCATCGACAGGGTGGGGGGGGTGGTGGGTAGAAGGATCAAAAGCCAGGGTCCTGACGGCCAACTAAAATGTTACGCCAAACTGCTATCGTTCCTAAGAAGGGGAGCTTCCTTAGTCCTCCGGGAGTCTGAAGGACGTGGTCACGGAGGGCCTAACGTAGTGAATCACTCAGGGACCCGAGCTACGCTAAGAAGATTCTGGCAATTCAAGAGGTCAAACGTACGTTAACAAGAGCCGACAAGATTTTGCACTCTTCCTCAGAAGCCATGTTGTCGATAACAAATCTTCCTGTGCCATTCAACTGCTTGTCTTCCATGAACAGCTTGATTCCCTTAAATTCAAATTCAAATGATTTTAGTAAGGATAGGATTTGAAAACAAACATTTATTTCGAGCATCGATAAACAACTTTAATTCTTGACTCGCATACATTTAACTAAATTGTTTCGACTAAAACTAGCTGCAGAACAAAACATAGTGTTTTCGCATGAACAAAAACGTATTTATCTCTCAAAAAGATAACCAACCGGCGGTGTGAGCGACAACGGATCATAATAACCAAAATTCGACCAGGTCAGTCAGAAAGTCAAATAAGATCCAAATGTGTCGATAGGGAATATATAAGGTTAAATTGGTTATTTTCATTGACCCATGGTGTCTGAAACTGTAACGAAGTGGGTTTTATGCGAAATGGTAAAAACGCGCATAGAATTTGCAGTTTTGTAGTGTCATGAAAAAGGATGAAAAGACAAAGGGGACCTCAATAAAATTCTCAAAAAGCAATCGAGAGCAGCAGAAATGGGCTATTTTTCGGTATACAGAATGGAGAAAAAGATGACGAAAATAACAAGAGAGGGTAGCCAGCCCCTTGATTTTAAGGCAAAGAGAACATCTACTAAATTATGAGCTCAAATAAGAGGTTTCTGGGGAAGATTTTTCAATAAATTCAATGTGGATTCTTTCATATAGAGCTAAGTCTAACGATTCTTTCAATACATCTTCTCAGTCGCTTCAAAGATTTGTGGAAAACTACTGGTTAAGAGAAACCAAATGAAGATGGCTCGTTTCCAGTTGCTTATTCCGATCGACTCCCTGTATATCAAGAGGGAGATTTTGCCAAAGAATGTTTTTGAAATCCCCTGGAACCACCTAAATTAATTTTTTTTAATCAATTTATAAGGAGGTTGCCCTCTCAAAGGCTGTCTAATTATTCTTCGAGTAATGGAACAATGCGTACGGCTATACCCTTCACTCTATCATTGCCTAATGTCGTGTTATTTGATTCGCACTAGGTTTAAGTTTAAAGCAGGCCTTTATCAAACCAAAAATATCTGTTATCAGGAAGTTAAACGTAAGCCGCCAAACGAACGATTGTTTTAAAAGTTTTGTGGAACCTTTCTACATAGAGCCCAATTCAACATCTCTTGATAATCCATCTTATCATCTTTCTTTGGCAATGTCTGCATCCACATTTTGACATTGAGGTTGGGGATAAAAAGGTATTGATTTTGCCTGCTTTTGATAACAAAGGACCGTTTTTCTGAAGGAATGATACGGAAGTTAAACCTCTACCATTGGGGACCAACTTTTCTGCACTCTAAAACTTTGTCTGGGACAGAATGCTGAAATCTGTTGCTCAGGTTAACTACTGAGAATGAATGATGTGAACTGTTAGTTAAATTTCAAAATAAAACGATTTTTTCTTTTTGCAGCTCATGCAACTGAATATCAAAAACAAATAAAACGCTCACCTTGAACTCACTGTGTTTTTGCCATTTTTTAGCTTTCTTAACAATATTTGACAATTTCTTTGGACTTTTCTCTTTTTCAGCCTTTTCACTACTTTTTTCATCTTTAGGTTTTCCTTCATTTTCTTGATCTTTATCGTCACTAAATATAAGATTCTCATCTTCCTCCTGCAAAAAATGTAATGAGAAATTAACTCTATACACATTATACTGAATTTCCTTATGTAATAATACCGAAACAAACATATTTACTTTTTCGTTACAGGCAAATGATAGCTGTAGCACTAGAGATAAATATCCAAGGTGTCATTTTTAATTCTAGATAACTTTTGATACAGGCAAATGCTAGCTGTAGCACTAGAGATAAATATCCAAGGTGTCATTTTTAATTCTAGATAACTGACAACAGATAATGTTAGTATCGGCAAACACTTATGCAGAGGCACAGGAAGCTTCTGGATGCGGCGGGGACAGGTCTGGCAGAAAGGGCACCTTAGGGTGTCAAAGATTGCTGATGAAGCAGATCAGGAATTGTTGTTTAGCCAATGACAAAGCCTGGTTGTAGGTGAAAGCCCGGTAGTCTGGATCGGTGGATCGGTGGTCTGGGGGCATAGACTCTCGGAAATGAAGGCAACACCCATAATGATACATTTGAGTCAAGATTACATCAAATTTCATTCTCAAAATTTCTTTCACCACAACATCAACCATCCACGGAGGCTGGACCCAATCTTACCTTACATAAAAACAAAATTTTGTTTTGATGACCATCTTCATGGCCTGATATAACTTTTGGATATAACTCCTCTTAACTTACTGTTTTTCTTTCTTTATTTAAAGTTGGTACAATCTGCAGCTATATTCAAGTTAAATAAAGCCAACTAAATTTAAATTACCAACGCTAAATACAATTTGAATCAAATATAACTGATGTTGCATATGTATTCCTTGTAAAGATCACAAGTATTGAACGATGAAAATTCAGAGATTTTTTCTTTAATTTTTGTAAAGTTGGTTTTTGTACTTATTTTGTTTGGAACTGAGTTCCACATTTGGCTCAATCTGTTTGACAAAGATCTTGAGAGCAGAAGGTAGCATATTATTCTATTATTGTTAATAAGGCTGTTACATACAAGATATAGATATAATTTTCAAGCTTGGTTGTGTGTAGAGCTGCCAAGAGGTTTCGGAGGCCTTGCAGCAGAATCAAAAATTTTGGCAACCATGCCCTTTAGCTTACATTAAAATTCAATTCAGAATCTTTTTGGTTATGCAGTTGGCTGCAAAGGTGAGCTGCAAAGGGACAGGAAAATTGAATTTTGGAAAAAAAAGAGGGAAATGTGCCTACTGTGCTCCCCTCCCCAGTTCCTATGCCTTTGCTTGAATTAAAGATATCAATGATGCCTTGACTGATACATAAAACACATGCGATGTTGGTAGCATTTGATATCTGTTCAGCATGATCATGAAAGTTAAAAAGAACTTATCAATGAAAATATTTTTGTTGGTCAAATTGCTTTGCAAATCGATTTTCAGTTCTCATCAAAATGGAAAATATTGACTTTTCTCTTGCATGTAGGTATCAAGAGATACTTGAAACCAAGATTTTATTAGCATTCAAAATATGCCCCTAGATACAAGTAGTTGAATTTTTTTTTAAAATTTGTTTCTACCTAGCATCTGAAGGTAGCTTTCAGGACACAGAGAAGCTATGCATATCAAGCAGTGTCCTGGTCCTTCCTCTCTGTGTCCACACTTCATGATTCCTATGTCTGTAATTACACAGAGCTAGGGACTCTCCTCAATCTGGGTTAAATTTTTGTCATGCTAGGGATTTGGACCCTTGGGTTGGGACCCTAGCGCCTCTAACAACGGAGCCATCCTTGCACTACCTGAATGTTTTTACAAATTCACTTCATTATGCAAGAAGTAATTATTTCACAATAATTATCTTGGCCAATTAGAGACACTGCTCAATAAATGGTTCATTCGTTCCTTTCTAGTTGCACTGACTTTCCACTTCTTTTCATCAAAGACAACAAAAATCTTGCTGGGTTTCTCAATTAGCCCCAATATTGAAATAGTTGACGAATTCGGCATGATAAACTTGATAAACATCATTGACATACCAAGGCAGCAAAATCTTTATTTTCATCATCAAAAACAACATCTGGGTTTGCATAAAACTTTGCAACAGCCAAGAGTTTTTCATCAAACCTCCTTTCATCTAGCATTGTCTTAGCTCTCTGAAACAAAAACTCAGTGGATACAATGTTTAAAAAGCAAAATTTCATCACAAGAGTTTGTGGAAGTTTTGGATAACATTTCTGCAAAAATTTTAAAATATTTAAAGAATAGCAATAATTTGCTGATTGGTACGCTGATCAAACCAGAAACTTAGTAAAAATCCTAAAAGACACCTTTTCTAACGACTTTGTTGTCTTCCAAGAAATTCACAGAAAACCTCTTTATAAAAATTATAGCTTCATAAAAAGTGAAAAAAACAAAAAAGCTATTTAACTTTTAATTAAAGATCTCCAACCAGTATGTTGATTGTCTACAATACTTCACTGCTTGGGACAAATTTGATCACATGCACACTGTTCTATTCTTTGCAATATTCAATTTTCTTTCTCTTGATTGATCAACCAGTCATTTTCAACTTATTCAAATGGTCATAACATTAAAAAAAATATTCCACAAGAGATGATAAGTTTTTTACACGTGTTTGCTGATTGAATTCTACCTAACACTATAACATCTCAGCAAAAACCCATACCTTCCTCACTGCTACATCTGACGCATCTAAATTCAGTGCTTTCAGATAATACTTGAAGTTTTCAATCATTATTGGGTCTTCTGGTTGAAAAAGCAAGTATGTTTTTGCATTCTCAGCTGCCTCTTTTACTTTTCCCTCTAAAGATGTTAAAAATATTTATAAACATATATGTAATAACACAAGATTTTTGTTCACATATCTACATATCTTTTATCTATATTGAATAACACAAGATATCTTTTGCGATAAAATAGAATGCAAATGCATAAAAACAACTTTTTAATTAAAACAGAAGATTTCAACATCAGTAATTCAATAACATTGGCAATTGGCTGCAAAAAAGTTAGGTATAAATATGAATGTGACTGTAAATATGCTTTGTTTTAAGACCTTTCAATATTTTGCTAGATCAAATGAGCATCTGGTACAAAAATTGGATAAGATCAATGGTACTGAAAGAAAGCAATGATAAACAAGGCAACAATAATGAAATATAAGCTTAAAATATGCTTACTTTCATGATAACAAAACTGCAAATAATGGTAGTGATTTTCAATGTATTTATCAAACTTTGCCCCTCGCACGAATGATAGCTCATCACGGCATGCCAATCTGCACTGAACAACTGCAATGTAATGCTGGAAGAATCCAACAGAGAATGAGGCCTGGTGTTTTTCATGCTGGAAGTCACACAAGGCAAGGCATTTCTTGTGGGCCTTGTAAAATTCATCCAGTGCTTCTTCAAAACTTTGTATGCATTCAGGGAACTTTCCTTCTTCATACTCTTTGTCACCTTGATGGTAAAGCTCAGCAAAACGCTGCCTTTCCATTGAATGTATGTTATCGATGCTCACATTGTACTTTGCTCCTGCAAACATATGCAGGTTTTTTAGCATGACACTGTCTGCTGGATGTCTCTCCACGTAAGTGAGTGCAGCGGAGGCTGCATTTTTGTAGTCCTTAAGCTGGTGATTCAAAATTAAAAAAAAACTTAAAATACAGCAATTCTTATATGAGCTTGTGCTGAAAATTAAGCAGATTAAAATCTAAATCTCCAAAAAAAATTTAAGAAATGCTATAATCTTTAACCATTTTAATTTTTGACATGTTGAATCCACCAAAAAATAGTGCGTGTGTATAAAAACAAACAAATTTATTTGCTTGCAGTTATAACGGCATAATAACATTTCATTTTTATTTAAAAATTAAAAACAAGTTACAGAAAGTAGACCCTAGGAAACCAAAGGCAACGAAGAAAATGAAATTCTTTGCTAATCTAAGTTGCATGAAGCTTAATGAAATTTCAATAGCTGGTCATTTTTAAAGACAAAAAAATGGCATATTAATACGAAAAAATGAGGAAACAATAGATCCATTCAAGGTAAGGTACTTAATTTGATGAAATATCGCAAAATAGATCTTTATTACCTTGAAATATGAATACTGCAGATAATTATAAGGTTCTCTTTTATCAAAAGCATCCCTTATGTATTTTGCTATAGGGGCACGTCTACCCATGAACTTTTCTTGGCACAGATCTGCACATCTCCTAACGCGTATTACATAGTATAGCACCAAGATACCTCCATCGAACTTTCCTCTTCTCAGTATTTCACTTTTATCGACTTTCTCTTTACAGTTAATGTTGCAGTTTGCCCTGACCTCACGTTCATGTCTGTAATCGGCCAAAGCCAGTTGCAGAGATCGAATGGCTGCCGTCCAAGATTCATTCGAGTACAACTGCACTGCATCACTGTACAGTTCGTCAAACGTTGCTGCGGGCTGTGTATACCTTAAATCTATGTCTTCGATGCCTGCAAAGACTTGTAAATTTAGGCAGAAGAGGAGAAATACAACGCAAGGCACCATCTTGTCCCCACACAAACTTTAATTACGTTATTCTCCTGAGGGCCTGACCTACAGGGGATATCATGTAGGTGCATTACTTGCAGTTGATTGGATGATTAATTGGCGCGATCGTCAAAATTACCGGAAATGGCTGCGAAATTATTGTGAGGAGATTCCCGCTTCTCTAATTTGATTGGTAAAGCCGTTTCCTACCCATCCGGCTTCAATGAATTTTACGCTCGCTGGTGCGTGTGCGCAGGATGTAGTAACCGCGCGACAAACCAAACTATTACAGTAATCCACGAATCCACCAGACACTTGGATATCAATTAACAAAACGGAACGGTCAATTTGTATCCATTGATATTGGTGACATCAGTTCCCTTGAAAATCATGCTGCATTCCACGCACGACCTTTCTAGAAGGGTATCGATAACTTTAAAAGGAAACTTACTACATTTAATCAAGATCAATCTTTTTATTTTAATTTAGCGAAGCAGAAGACCCGCGAAAATAATCATATTATTGATTCTACGCCTGATTTTATATCCTTAGGTCAACTTTGGTTTATGCTGATTTCCATCAACAAATCATTTTTACAAAGCCATTTTTGAGTTCTGTATATCCAAAAAGTTGTTTACTTTCCTTTATTGCCTATATATCATAGCCTGTTGTTCTTGTTTTATATCCAACAGTTCAATACTATGTACTAGCAAGATAATTGATGCTAGTTGGAGACCCTTAAAGTTGCAAATTATCGTGGCAGATCGTTTAGCTAGATTCCTTCCCATCTTCTTCTCAACCAATTTTTATTCTTTTTTCGTCTATTAAGCTACTGACCGATTCATTTAAATCTAGCTAGTCAGTATTTTAAAATGTTGGAATTTTACGCACAAGTGTTGCGTCCGCATCCAGTCGCTTCCAGTCCGTTCTCACTCTTTTAACTGCAGCAAGAATTGTTGTATCCTCTCTATGACTGCTCTATTTTTGTGGAAAGGAGAACCTTACATGGTAAAGGGTTACTTTGCAACTTTATAGCTTAAAGAATAATTGGAATTACCTAATGAAAGAGCTTTATCATACCACACTCAAGAGAAACCAGTGACAAAATAGTTTTTGTTGAAACTACTTTTGCATTTTCAGACTATTAAGATCCTGTGAAAGGCCTTGTCCCGGAAAAGATTTACAAGACTACACGTGCCTTTTTCAGATATCAGAAACGTTTTCATTGAAAGAAGCAAAATTACCAAAAAACGGAACCTTCTGGGTTTTAACGATAAAAACAACACCGTTGGAGCCCTTATAAGCTCTGCTCCTCGCTTTTAAACGATCCAGCAATTCGATCTTGACGAAAAATTGAAAGAATGATTCCAATAAAATGGCACGAGGGATGATGGTGTATCCTTTTAGTTGTGCCAATTGCATGTCGGGGCAACTGTGAAAAATATTATTTAATCTTGAAATGTTAATCCAGTACGAGACAAAACTATCGATTGGAAAGATTGATACAGGGATACGAGAATTGTAAAACAGCTGATAGCTAAAATGGAGCCAATTTCGCAAATTTTGAATATGTCCATATGCAGCAATAATTAACAATAATGCTTAAATATTGCATGTTTTTCATAATCTATGTTAAATTGTAAGCCTTATGATTCATGCATAAATTACAATTTAAGTGTGACGGACGCTTTATGTTACATACAAGTATCGTAATTAATGAAACATATACTAATTGTCTAAAACACAAATTGTTGAGAGAAATGTATTTACTTTACGAGGAGAAAGAATAAATGCAGACTGGTTAGTTGTGACCACACCAATGGCCATTTCACGGTTATTTGTACGAGGATTGAGGGAACAGGAGTTTTGAAACTGGACTGAATTCTAAGAAAATCCAGCCTGAGATGCATTTTCATTCATTTATTGACCTACATTGAGAGCTTTGCATCCAGCAACATTGAGGCTGTAATGTGGTAAATGAATGTAGATCTCTTTTACTTGATCGGTGCTTAACAAAAAACCTTGCTATATAGCAGCCCTTAAAGCCAAGGCTTTACGTTTTGGGGCAAGTTACTCTACTGTATCTAAAATGTTTCGTAATGAGATAAATACTAATGAAAGATGTCCGCACAATTTTAGATATTGTCCTGCATTAATTTGCATAAAAATACGTGCTGTTTTGTTTCCAACTGCAAATATTGTATCTTAGTTTTTATTCCAACAGAAAAGCTCTTTTGAATTGCTACCTTGTATAAATATATTTTAACTCAAAAGGCAATGAAAAATTGAAAGGAAACCCTAAATTCTCTTCTTCACTCAAAAATTCTACATAACCCAGAATGCTCTCCGGTATTGGTAAAATCATGTCATGTAACAAGTACATCTTGTCAATGATTAATCTGACAATTTAAAAAGAAGCCTCGATCTCTCACGTTTTATACTGTTAAAGACGAGTTTAAGTCAAATATATAGACAAAATCATATGGGCATCTCACGCAGACGATGCAGTACCGTTTGCCACTGGTTTTGAGTCACTGTTGGCATCTCCATCATCATTGTCCACGGTCGGGTCAGCGTTTATGTCGGTTTCAACAACTTTGGCCTTCTTTCCCAAACTGGTGTCGACTTCATCTTTTGGCAATATTCTAGGCTTCAAAGGGCTTGTTACCACATCTGGCTCGGGTCCAGCGTCTATAGATACCCCATTTGGCAATTTCATCATAGACTCCTCGGCGTTGGCCTTGGCATTACTTTCCGATAATGACGTATTTGGCTCTTCGGGTGATTCTTTGACCTCGCCACAATATGGTGCATCAGAAACCTTTCTTTTATGACTCGTCAGCTCGCACATCGAGCCACTTTTGTTGTAAACGCGGCCGTTAGAGGGCATTCCGCTGACGCCTTGCTTTCGCGTGCTCAATGGTAATGTGGTGCTTACGCTGGATGCTAGCGTCTCCTCACTGCGGCAGCTACTGGAAAGCTCGCTCATTGAAGCTGACCAGGCTTTTGTATCGAAGGAATTCAGACCTGACAGAAACAAATGAAAAAAATCTAATAGCTAGGTGAGCGGTCCTATAGTATAGTACATTGTACTATAGGCCTATTGCCCCATTTATTTAGAGGAATAGTAGAGAAATAGTAGAAGGCCGTGCTGACCAAAGGTAAACAGGTATCAGTGATTTTCATTTACTGGTGCACTAACAGTGATAATGTTCAATGGACTGGAGGCCGTCATCTCAACAAGTGCAACTATCATCAGTAGACAAGATTGTAATTACTATCATCAGTAAACAAGTGCGACTGTTTGGGGTCATGAAAAGCAGGACTGAAGGCACCTGAAAGGGTCTGTTTCAACATGTTTCATTAACCGAGTGCGTCACCAGAAAAGATTATTTACAACATCGAAATTTTGGGTCTACAAAGTGCCATCTTTAAGTCATTTCTCGTGAATTCCAAGTAATGCTTCATTATTCCACTAACTTCAACATATAAAAAATAAAATTTTATTGAATAAAAGGAAAAGGCAGCTCCTTACCACACTCTGTTGGTAGCGAGGCAATGCTCGAGAGCGTCGTCACAGAATGCTTCGCGTGAACAAGGCCACTGCCATTTCTGCCATTACTCAAAGGCTCTTTCTGGTGGACTTTGCCCGCGACAGATATGGTTGATGCTGGCCGGTTCTTCAAGGTTGAGAGACGAGAGGTTTCGACTATTATATTAGCCTCTTTTCCAAAGAGCAAGGTAAGCTAGAATCAGAAATGGTCAAGATATCAAACATATCGAGACAAAATTTACTTCAATCAGATGTCTTAAAAAAGAAAGCGAATGTGTATCAGGGGCCAGAAAACAAACAAAACAGATAATCAATCGATCACAGTCAATAAAAATACACCCACAAAAGGTCTCCCTCGATTAGACAACAGAAGAAACAATTCTTGTTGTCATCAACACATTGTAAATGGCCTATGGAATTTTTGTATATGTAAACCTTGTAAGAAGCAATTTTATGTGAAATGCAGAAATCCCTGTGATAATGCCTACCTTTGGTAGAAACACAAGGCAAAGCGTGACAGTGGTACACAGAATAATGCACAGACAGACGATTGTGTAGCTGGCTTCATTCGAGGCTGCGTCGCTCAATGCATATGTGCACGTGACCCCGATCGCTGATATAGCGGCCACGTTGTACACAGCCATTCCAATGAACTTGGAATCGTTCAATGCAGGGACCTTAAAGAAATGCAGCAATATTTTCAGCTCATATTGAATAAATGATAGTCAGATTATACATTATGGATTGTTGCAGAAAACTGAAACTTTTAAGGATGTCAGGAGTCATATCACCCAAGGAGCTCTTTGATTACCCTTTGTCGTACCTTTCTTTGTCATGCGAGTCATCAAGAAGAAATTTCTTCTCTTGATAGCAGAAAAAAATTCAATGGCAAATGTATTGACAGCAGTATCACCTTAATGTTAGCAGTATCACCTTAATGTTAGCAGTATCACCTTAATGTTTGCGCCTACGGAGTCTAAGACAAGCACACAACGGGAAATGATCTTTCAGTTTGGAGAATTTCAATTCTAGAAAGCTTAATTCTTCGAGAACTCTAAAATCTATAATAGAGATAAAAAACTATTTTCTTGAAATTTTTTTGCCAGCGTGAACTGTAGCTTTGCCACAGGCTTAAACTCAAGGAAAGAGCAATGTCAAAACTGTTTACCCTTTTTCTTACTGTCTTTTACGTATATGTTGTCGCTTAACAAAGAATTCCAAATACACCTTCCGAACATAAGGAAAGAATGGCTCGGAAAAAAACAAAAAATGTACAAGAAAAAACTAGAATGACACTGAACAAACCTCGACATGTCTCGTCTCCCAGGCTAAGAAAAGGCCAAAGAAGAGGAGGATTCCCTTGTACGCGATGGTAGCTGATGAGAAATAGAGTCCAAATTTGGCAGAACAGTGGAACACTTGAGTAACCTCTATGACATCACGCATAATGTTTCCCTGAAAAACATCAAACACTTGTTCAGTCTTTCAGCTATCTAACAGTTAACTGCTTCTGTCCAAGAGCTTCTAGGTTGACGTCTAGGAGCACTCAATGACGTGAGTTGGATCCTCTTCAAAAAGGCTACAGGAATTAAGACCCCCCACTCCTACAGAGAAGAAAAGCCAGATGGCCAAGATACTTTCTTCTTTTGTAATGTTTTTCCCACAACCATTGTCTCACCTGGTAAAAATGCAACTCAAAATTTGCTACCAGCCTACCATAATTCTGTGCTGTGGTAAGTCCCTGGAAAGTCACCTTTCCATAACAAGCCTCCTTCCCACAGGAAACAACACTTCACCGCCCAATCAACAAGCATGAATACAAATAAACATATGTAATAGTTGTTAAATCAAATTTCACTGAGAAATCAGAGAAAGCATATTTATAAGCTGTACAATTAAAATAACTGAGAGTCCATATTCAAAGTATTTCGATTCAACGGTGGCCTCATTAAAAATCATAGCAGACGCCATCACAAAGCTGCTTCTCTTACGTCATATCCCACTGTTCAGTCAAAAACTACATTTTGTGAATTTATCGCTAAATTATTTGTTTCAATTAAAATAAAAACCATTTAAACAACCATATCTAACACATTAATGATGGAACCATTCATATGTTTTGAATGGGCACGTATGATAATGCTTAGATCTGAAATTCGATTTTCCATTCAATAAGGGAAATGCAACTTGAAAAGTTTACAAACAAACCCTGCGCAGCGATTTTCGAGCATCAAAACCTTGCCTTAAGGCTAACGAGATTACAAACAATTGCAAATATGCTTGAAATTATAAATTTCCTTTCTATTCTTAAAGATCAACAAAGTATGTTGAAATGCTGTTCAAAATGAAAAACCAAATTGCAGCACTACAAAATGACTCATTGCGACTCATTACTTAGAAGAGATGAGAAGTAAATATTTGTTCCAGACAATCTTAGTTTTAACTTGTATGTGAGTAGTTTGTGCAGTAATTATTCTAAAAATCCTAGAGGCATAACGTAAATCGTTCAGCTTCAACTTTTTTCGCAAGCAATAAGTGGGTGTAGGATCTAATCAACGAAAGGCATTGCACAATTTTTGTCATGACGATAACCCAAAGCCTGAGCCTACTACAAAATCTTTGTTACGATCTCTTTAGCTTTGTCGATGTTAAATGCAATTGATTTCATCCAATACAGTATTCCAAGACGAACAGGTCTTTCAGTCTCTGAAGTAAAAAGCTAGCAACTTACAACTCTAGATATTTCGGTGATTTTTAGGTTGTAAGGAGAAACAATCATCCACATTGTCAGCAAAATAACATCAACACCAATCAGTATAAAAATGATTCCAAACAGATGGCGATCAAGAATGGCCTGAAAATACAAAAAAATAATTTAAAACAGAGAAAAACAGTTTAACGGGTACAGGATGGAAAGAAAAGATTTCATTTAAAGTTGTATTATATCTTTCACTGATAAATGTTTATCAACTATGAGAATGAAAAAGAGTGAAAATTATCTCAGCTGGAATATCAACATCTCAACAGGTGTATGGTTTTGAATGAGCGCAAATGACTAGAAAGGTAATGAAACGCAATCCAATAATGCCATAAAACGCCATATTATCCCACTACATCAAGTTTGCAATAAGGACACGAAACTGTTTGTCGGTTCGATTAAATCTTAAAAGGAACATACACTCGAAGAATTAATCGTTTGAATGAAAATTTGTTGAACAAAGAAAAGCAGAAGCGAATAAAATCTCATTGCAAACTAGTTGGTGTTTGCTGTTTGAAATTGGATAATACTGACGCTTTTTTTCACTTGAAGTTTGAGAAAAATGTAGAAATACCAAATTGGCAGATGCAATGTGCACTTATTGTGATTTTACAAAACATTACAAACGGGTCTGTGAGATTACTGTTTTTCTAAAACCTTCCGTTTAAATGCATGATACACATTCAAGGCAGGCATTTTCTGTCTTACGAGTGCAAATGATCCAGAAATAACTAAACTGTAAACAACTTAATCATAATGATCTATATTTTTGCAATGGAATATAATTTTATTCATGATAATCATAGTCATGTATATTACATCTTATTATTCATTATAGACAAGGCCGGTTAGCCGTGCTCAGATCATAAAAGACGAGCACACTACATGCATCACCACCTTGCAACTGTCTAGCTGACAGTGCAAATCAGCCAGCATCTTATAATATAATCGTTTTTGTTGCTTTCTCACTGAAATCTATCTTATAGATCTTTGCTACAAAATGCAGATCTTGCTTAAATTGCGCAAAATGAACGAACAAAGACATTGTGTTGCAGGATACATGATAACGTGGATCCGTCGTCAGCTCAAACGACTAATCTCAAACTCTCTCTTAGAATTTTGGTTCTTATGAAGATATCAAGCTAGAAAAGCCTCGACGCAGCTTAGAAACAGTCCAATAATATTATTCTGGCAGACAAAAACGACACCGCCAACATGAAAGTTATCCTTCAACAAAAATGAATTAAAATAAGCAAAAAAGGCAAGAAATGCATTGCAACATCAACCAAACAGGTGAAAATAAACTCACAACTCTTTCCATTGATTTCGCAGCCGTGAATATTTTGTAAACCCGCCATGTCTTGCTAAACAAAGCTCCGAATGAGAGAGTAAAACCAAAGCTCAAGATCCAAACAAATGCCTAAAACAGAAAGGAAACCTGACGTGAAATTTGCCAATTGAAAAGTAGAAAAATAGTTCAAAAAGTAGAAATAATTGGGCAAATGATAGTGAAATTCTAATTGATTTTTGAGAAGACAGCCAGGAAGGTTTTGAAGAAAATCAAAGCTTGTTGATACTACAAAAATTCGACCTTGTTAAATTAATCTAGCTCACGCAATAATCTTGTCTACACTAAGGCCCTGAACGCACTGACGTAAAACTCATTATCTTTGTCAAAGTGGAAAATCGAGAAAACTTTTCAAGTTTGACAAAGAGAATCCGATTTCCGCTTGGAAATTCGATTGTTTGCTGTTTGGTTAATGTGAAGTGGTTCAAAACAAAGAACGATTTGACTTTGGGTATTCTGTGGCGCCAGAAAAATGCGTTAATTGTTAATCGTTTCCGTTTTCCAGAGTTCGTCCTGCTCTGGTGCAGGACGACGGGACCTTTGGGGGATTAGTGAATTTGGTTCAGTGGCAATTTGGGTGGCCGCACTGGAAAATCAGCATTTGTTTACTAACAAGCTTAATCCCTTTTCTCTGTGAACAATAGAGATTAAATGTGTCAGAAGCTCTTTCTGAAATCTTGTTCGGTGCGTCTAGGGTCTAAAGCAAGCGAATATGGACATAAAGCTGAACTGTGAAGTAGCCTTCCTGTAAGAGCGTCAGCAGCTGATGTTTCCTGCTCATGATTGGAAAATAATCAAATTGGCTGAAATGGCGCATTTATGGAAAGTTTGCTTGGCTCGCATTTTCCTTTACAATGTTTTTTCACTCTGTACAACTATGTACCGGAAAAAGTGCAGGAAAAATCGATTTTGGTAGAAAAATATTCTTGAGAAAGAAGAAACAAATCTACTATCGCTAGCAAATGAATAAATTTTATTATGAACAAAGGACAAGTTTATGATGAATTTATCTCTGAAAACTCTCTGCCTTCTTTCAAAAACAAAAATGGCACAAATTTTCTAGCTTTATATATGTGACCTAGTGAGTTAAGCTGAACACTCAAGGCACAGTCTGGAGAGAGAGATTAAAATTCCATTGCCAAGCCATGCTGATAAAAGTGCTTCCTAAACAAATCGCACTAAAGACGATTAAAATATGTAGAACGCCCTTAATAGATTCAAATATATGAATTTCTCCTTTCTACTCGCTGAACCCTTGATTGTAAACAAAAATGCCATCCTAAAAATTCTGTTGCTGACACTTCCCAAATAGTTTATCGCGAAGGCTCTCTCGAAGATCTTGAGGCTACGTTATCGCAAAGCGTCAATGGTAGAAACTTGAGTGTTTGATAAAGATTTGTCGCTCACATTGCACATTCGAGGAATGGAGCACTTTTCAATCAGCCTCGTATCCAATCCAAAAAGAATGACAGCAACGTAGCACAGAATGCTGCCAATAATGATCACATTGTTGATCATCGGGGAAGACATCTTGATCAACCTGGAGAAAGAAGGAAGTAAATTAGACTACAAAAAAAGCAAAACGGAACCAGCTCAACGAAAGTGCGCTCGTTTCTCTATAAAGATAATGTCAGTTGTCATATCAAAGAATTATTGAAAAAACGATTATTTAACTTTTTGCATCTGATGGGCCTGTGCTGGTGACATTATATTAAAAGAAAAGCCACAAACCTGTTTTCTCTGTATCTAATATTGAAATAAAGAAAAAAGCAGGCGACAATGAGACCAAAGGCAGCAAAACTCCACATTACAGCAATTGCAGGAGTTGACAATGTTTTGGCAACAAACGATTTAACGGTGTGATCTAGCGGTGGTGGTTTTCCTAGAAATAAAGGAATAAAAACTTTAGAAATACATAATTGATTATTTCGTCTAGCAGAAATTTTGACAAGTAGATGTAATGACCACGTATTATGAATAAAAATGTTAAAAAAGGATTTTGTTAATATCCGCGTTATAAAGAACGACGAGCTAGCTGGTAAATTATCATCAATTATTGATTTCAGCACTAAAGATTGAAATGATTCGATTGATCACTTATTTTGACTAAGGCAATGGAGTAAGAGTAACTGAATGGAGCGATTGGAGTGATTCATTGACGATCTCACCATTAAAAAGGGTTTCACGCTTCCCAGTATAAAATGTGATATTTCCCGTTGTTGATGTGTGTAGCGCGATTTTGGTAAAGCTTTCTAGAAAAGAAATACATTACAAGTTATTCGCCGGTGTTGGCTGTAATCGAAAATAAAAAAGAAATTGATCTAGTATGCAAAGCAATGAAGTCTGGTAAAAATCTACCCTTTTCCTTCATCATTTTAGTAGCAGAGATACAAAAATTGAATTGGAACGAGGGGATTGCAAAATAACAACACCGTTTGTCTGGGGTTGCAGCTCAAGGAATCATTAAGGAATGGATTATTTGCCTGCCAACATTGCTGAAGTGAACGATGTAATAACTTGTGGAGGACTTTTTGATAACTTACACGGGGAGTCAAAATTCGTATTCAGTTTAAACTAGATTAAAAACCCGTACACAATTCAGGCTTTAGTAGCCTGCGTCACAGACCATTCAGTTACGATTTTATAGGCTAAAGTTTTATAGGCTTAGGCCTGGTTTCCAAATAACCGTAAGGCTGCCTGAGGCTGCCTGCGACTGCTTTCTGCCATCTTCCATCTTCCATCCCTACGGTATCGCCGGCAGATAATTTTTTATGGAAACGCTTTCTAACGGTACCGCAGACAACTTTTCACGGCTCTTACGGCAACGCCTTGCCTGCGGCTGCCTGCGGCATTCTTTTGTTCAAACGAATCATGTGATGTGCAAGAACCAATTGAAATAGGGCCTTTGGAAATTGTTATTGTTTTTCATTGTCACATCTTTCCAAAAAACATGGCGTCGTCCTCGTCTTTCGTAGTCGAAACTTCGGAACAGATCTCAGAAATTAGTAATGAAAAGCTAATGGACTGCATAAGAAATTATCGTTCCATGTACGACAAGAAATGCAAGGACCATAAAGTTCCTCCCAAAACCTGTGCTTTCTCTTAACTTTATTGCGTCTTCTTCTGTGTAAGCAAGTAGCAATATGTATTCATATCAAAGCAATAATCCTTCGTTTTTTGCAGCAGCCATGTTTGTTGTTGAATTTTGCTCGCCAGTTTTTCCCGCTCAAACTTTACCTAGTTACTTTACCTAGTTTGCCGGTGATACTGTAAGGGTGGGAGATGAAAGATGGCAGAAAGCAGTCGCAGGCAGTCGCAGGCAGCCTTACGGCTATATGGAAACAAGGCTTTAGCCTTTCATTATGTAATCTGCGATAATTGCTAAAAGACACTGAGAAGGAGCATCGAATGCTATTCAATGGCACAAAGCGAAAATATGAGCTTTTGTTAGCGGAGAAATAAAAAGAAGGGTCGAGTGAGATGAGATTAGTTTGGGGAATTTTTGACTCACTGCAGGTGACCAAGAAGATAGTGCAAAACAGGAAAAGGCTGTCTTTTTATCTTTAAAGGTTTGTGAATAAAATCTACTTAAAAATTTGAAGAGAGTTGCATTAAACATGTTTAACGATCAATGGTTTTCGCTTTAAACTTTATAGACTATCTTGGTTGATTTCAGAATGTCTTATTTTAATATGATAATTTTTACAAATTTTATCGTTTTGATTTGTGATATTTTATTTTCACTATATCGCAATAGATATTGTTCGTATTTGATTTTATATCTGCGAAAGAAATGCAGATATATAGTCACCGACCGATCGGTGCAAATTGTTAAATTCATTTGTTGTATGGGTGTAATGTGGAGGGTGAAGGATAACAGCTTCTAGTTGCAAATTTTCAACACAAGTGTTTGTGGCTCTGTGACTTAACAAGATTTTGCATCGTAAGAACGTCAAACAGGTTTATCAAACTCAAGCATGAATTTCTAAAGGAAGATATTTATTTTCGTAGAAAGAAATAAAAACTTCGGCAGGAAACCGTAAGCAAACCATTCAGCACAAAGAAGATACCAAAAGCAAAAAATTGAAACTTGTTTCTGCTCCTTTGCGGATTGAAGATCCTTGTAATGATTGCAAAAGACGCCAAAACCTAGAGAATTACATATAGAAAACAAATCCTATAATTGACGCATTGCGTGTAAAGCATAGCAAATGCGTCATTGCTATGCCAGCTGCAAATAACATATAATTACTTTCGTTCAATAACAGGCAGTGTTGTGATATATCAATACAACCTTAAACCTCCTCTTTCAATGTCTTAGCCAAAGGCAAAAACAATGAATTTGACATAAATGCAGATGCAATCGATGCAGAGGCATCTTTGCATATGACAATACCTTTGTTAGCATTTCTTTGCTTAAACTACTATCGACATGCTGTGATCAATGCAATGCAAGACAAAAATTGCAATGGTGGTGACAGCAATCGTTGCGTCTGATGTTCTTTATTGGTTCGATTTGTTTCAATCAAATTTTCATTGTGCTTCTTAACTGCAGAGCAGAGGGCAAAGAAAATGAAATCAGCGAATGAAATGACATGCAGCTGTGTTCTCGTCTTCATTTTAATTGGAGTCTTAGCAATGACAGCAGGTACACCAATTACAACAAGTCTGTGATTTTCTTTAAGAACAACCCACATCGCGACGTTTAATGATTTTGTTAAATTGCAAGTTTAAAACATTTTGCCAAGTTCAAAGCAAATCAAATATTAGTACTAAACGTTAACTCTACCATGAACTGAAATAACAAAACTACTAACGAGCAAAGCAACAGGATAGACTGGCAGCTGAGAAGCTCTCTAAATGAGATTATCATAAAATTTGCAAAGTTGCTTGACATTATCAAGAAGCATTATTCTGATATTTTTCTAGAAATCATCAAAGAAAATGAAAACTCTAACATCCCTTTAAGATTATCTAATTAAATAAAGAACAAGGAATTTTGATAATATCGACATCTTTACTAGTACAATCACTTTTCATGGCCACTAAAATGCTTATTTTGCAAATGGATTTTTCTCAAATATGAAATTAAATCGGGTATGAACATTGTTTTGGAGGTATAATTTAAGATCTTCATGTTGTTACGAAAAAATCACGAAATCAACTTTTTTCAGTTGTTTTCATTCAGCAATAATTCATTCGATCTTCACTTAGCTGCTGATGAACCAAAATCGAATGACACCCTCGACTACGAAATTATGCTCGTCGAAAAGCTCACGAAAAACTACAAGAACGTTGGTCGTCCTGTTCACTCAAACAAAGAACCAGTACTTGTTTACTATGATCTCAAAATAAACAAACTCGAGAAATTGGTATGTATTGAGAATCATTTGTTATTCATCAATTTCTGAATCATCTTCAACTTCGAGAAATATTCACCTGATCATCAACCACAAGCCAGCTATAACGAGAGAGAAGTCAGGAGAAGTCAAGGAAAGGGCCTACATTATACACATGGCAAAGAACGGAGCTTCAAAACACTACGCTAAAGCCAATTTAAAACTGACCCCACCTGCAGGTATCAAATTAAGGAAACAACCTTATCCAGGGAAGAAGAATTTGAACAACCAGGCAAAAAAATCGAGCCGTCCTTTGCCTCTTTTATTTCCACAAATTTTATCTCTTCAATTGCTATTGTTGGTTAGATTGCTTGAGAAGAATTGCAAGTACCAACTATTTACTTTTCTCCATTAGGTGACAGTGAATCAATTACTCATACTACATACATTTGTCATGATGGTAAGTTGTGCGGTCCTCATTTTGATCATATTTCACAGTGGCAACAATGTCCATATCAAGAACTTTTGCTCAATGTTTGCTTGATCTTGACTCTACGAACCAACAGCATAGTAGAAAGAACACATGCTTGTTGGATGTTGCTAGACGATCTATTGTAACAAACCCTCTTTTAAGATGAATTAATGGATGAACAAATGGCGTAATAATTAATGGAAAACGATAAAGGAAGGGATTGGCTGTGGAAGAGGAGAGCAAGAATCAGTGAGTGAAGAAAAGGGAGGCTGAAAATAAAAGTGGGGTGGGAGGAGTGACTTGAAAGATGAGAGGTAAGGGTAACATGGGGGAAATGGATGTCCATCTCCGGGTGGAAAGAGCAAGGTACTGCAAGTGGAACAAGTAAAGGCGAATTTTATTTGTGGAGATGAAATGAATTCCTTTTATGATAGGCGAGTTAATGTTGTTTTTTGAAACTTTGTGTCTAATTTGAACAAACAGGTATGGAAAGATCCTCATTTACGATGGAACGAGACCGAGTTTAATGGAACAGACATCATCACACTGAAATCATCAAGTATCTGGACACCTGATATCATGCTTTATAATACGTGAGTGAACAACAACAACAAAATACATGACAATTGTTGTACTGTTATTTTCTTGTATATTTCTGATCGGTTCTTTGGGAACTGCTGTTAGGTAACTTGTCAACAGTATCTGTGGAAAAGAAGCCACTCTGCTTAAAGAGCTAGTCTACGAAATGACTTCAAGCCAATGACTTCTAGTCTACTTAATGCAGAATTATTGAGAATTTTGATTTAGAAATGAGCATTTTTGCAAGATCTTGAAGCAAATTAGATATCATGGTAGGATTAAATTTACTACAAGCAACCACAGACAACGATAAACAAAAAGCAGAATTCTAAATGTAACCCAACATTTGATGCAACATTGCAACCTTATTCTCCGACTTAATATTATTACTCGTTGACTCTTTGGTAAATACATTCCCTGATATCTTTGAAAAATAGAGTGTTGCCATTTTAGATATTACGAAAGACGTTGTTTTAATGTTGGAGATCCTACCTGGTTGGATGTGCCTACATGAATAGTTTTTTGCAAATGGGGTGCTCTTAGCTGACTATGTAAAGGAAGACTCTATCTCCAAGACTAGCCCCAATCTATCCCTAAGTCCAGCCCTCAGTCCAGCCCTAAGCCCAGCCCTATACTAAACCTCTAACCTAGTCCTAACACAAACCCAGTTAGCGCTAACCATTATCCTAACGGAGTCTTTGCAGCTGGCTTTCAGTTCAAAAAACGCTGCCATTTAGAAATGTGTCCCTGAAACCCATTTGGAATAACGGCTGTCTTGATTGTAGAGCTGAAGACCAGAACAAATCACCCCAAGACACGTACAAAGCACCTGTCAATGTTTTCCACAATGGCACTGTTGTGTGGTATGTCCCTGTGGTTTGGAAAAGTTCCTGTGAGGTTGATATCACTTGGTTCCCAGTGGACACACAGGTGAGATGAGAGCTTCTTTCTCTGAACTTCAACGTCTCCTTTTTTGGTTAGAATTTTTTTTAAGGTAATAACTTAAATAGGAACAGGAACAACAACACATCAAAAGCTTTTTCTTTGTAGGTTTGCAAGCTCGTCTTTGCCTCTTTATCATACACGAAATCGAGGCTTCGATTACTCTTCCACGAAGTGCCTGAGCAAATGCACGAGAACAAAGGTATGAGACTTCTGCAGATGTGCCTGAGATTATTTTGAAAATTGTTAATTCTAAAGCTTTCTATGGTTATGATTAATACTAAAAGCATTGTCAGGCATGTTTTATCAACTACTAATTTAACAAGTAAAATATATCTCGTATTTTCGAGCTTCCTCCTTGTCCTATTGAATTATTAACTATTAAAAAAGTAGCATAACAAGAACTAAAGGCCATTCAAAAATTAAGAAACAATAAAATTTATGTTGAGTTACCTCCTTGCTCTACTTTATTGTAAAATTCCTTTAATATCAACAAAAGCGTTACAATTTCTGATGTTTATGAGTAAATTCAGGTTGAATAGTTAAGTTGATTTCTCCTAGGTCACCATCATGTGACAAATGGCGAATGGGAGTACAAGGGAATGGCTGCGTCAAACACTGAAAAGCATTACGATTGTTGCCATGAGCCTGTCCAGCAACTAATCTACGAACTGAAGATCAAGCGAAAACCCTTGTTCTTTCTTCTCTACATGATGTTTCCAGTTTGTGCAGTGGTTTTCCTCTCCTTGCTCAGTTTTCTCATACCAGCCGCCAGCGGCGAACGAATCGGCTTTGGCGTAACTATTCTTCTGACAATGGGAGTCTACTTAATGGTGATTTCTGAAGATCTGCCCAAAACAGCGCACAGAGCGCCTCTCATTGGAGTACTATACGTCACTCTGTTCTACATCATGATTATCGCCTATGTAGCTTCGACGATCAATGTTAGCCTTTCAAGGAAAGAGACGAAACCACCGAAATTCTTGTTGCGACTGGCACGAAGCCAGAAACTGCCATCCAGAAATGGAAGCTCACTGATCACCCGAATGAGAACAGCTAGCATGAGAACCTACGTTGAGCGCAAAAAGTCAAGCATACAAAAACCAGTGCTAGAAACAGACGGGAAGATGTTCTGCGAAGATGAAGAATTCTTTGATTTGGAAAAATGTCCAATGAAAAACGAAAAACCGAGCAACGGAGGAAAGTATTTCGCGCCAATGGAGAAAATATTGGATGAATCTGCTATTGCAGAAAAGAACAATGAAAACTGGAGACGCATTGCGGCTTATCTCGACAAGGTCTTCCTTTGGGTGTTTTTGGTCTTGATAATTTTTTCATGTGCCATCATCATCTTAGCTTTAGAAATCATGCATGGCTAGCCAAGGTTTGATTCCATACAATAACGATGCTTGAACACGTGGTTTTTGATACGAGCGGTGAAACGGATAAATGCGTCGATTGCTTAAGAGAATTTGGCTTGCTTGTAAAATACCTCTAAATTAACTTTGCTACCTGTCCAAACAATTCTTGCTTATGTCACTTTCAGAGTCGGAACAGCGATCACATTGGCAACGACCGTGAAGAAGACAAATAAGAACATAAGAAATATATGCCACACCCAAACCACGCCCCGTCGTCTTTTTTCTGAGGAAAGATTTCAGAGCTTTGGATTTTGTTAAGAGGAGGACATTTTCTGGACTTCGGAAACTTCACTAGAACAGAAATGGCTCCAAATTCTAAATTGTTGCCTTCTAGAGAATATGCACCAAACATTTTATCCTGCTAAACCGGAAAAATTCCAGTAACAGAAATGAAATTAACTGATTTTCTTTGCAGTTTTCAATAGCTTAAACAAATCATTAACAATCACTATGCAGATAAAGTCGATCCAGGGTTCCATGACGTGGTAGAAAATCAGACGAACCGCATTTGAAACTCAGAAGAACCGCATTTGAAAGAGCGACAAAATCCGATAACCAATTAACGCTGACTAGCTGTTTAGTTGCTTGATATAACAATATGTATCTAATAGTTCACGATGATTTAAAATTGGCTTAATTACGCGCAATAAACAACCTTTCTCGTCTAGAATAATTCCCGCTTCAGTAGTGCAAACCTGAATCAAATTGGCAACCAAAATTAGGCCTAAAGTGATATGGCATCAAAACATTCGTAATTAGATGTTCTAAAGTTTCGTTGCAAATGGCGAAGAATCAAGGTTAAAACGGCTTACCGTTTACGAACTGACCGACCATGACGTAACCAAGCCTTTCACTGCTTTTATCAAAGCGCAGCGGTCCCTGAAATCAACAAACAAGGAGTTCAACCAGTAAATACAACAGGAACTTACAACTATATGCCTATCAGCTATATATATATTGCTTTGAAGTACTAATGCAGTGACAGATAGCAAAAAGCAGTCTTGCTTATAAAATAAACAACAGAAAATACACTTTTGACGATAGCACCAAAACGAACTTCCAAACAAAATACATTTTAGATTCAATCAAAATATGTCTTGTCTAAAAGTCTTTCTAGATTCATTGCTATTTTTACTTTCTTTCATTTAAAGTTGGAAACAATTCCAATTTATAGTTGGAAACAAAGGAGTTCCAGTTTATCATTTCAACTTCTATCATGATACATCCAGGAGGGTGAAAGGTCGCAAACGGGCCAGAATTAGTTTTCCCCATGCGCTGAGCGACCTGTTAATCTTACACTTTGGTGTTTGGCAGGGCTCATTACCGGGGCACATCATTTTCAACTTACATGTAAATGATTTGGAAAATACCACGTTTATCAAGCTAAGTAGAAAGAGAAACTGCTAGAAAAAAGGGGGTAGACTCTATTGTTGACTGCTTGATAATAATTATAAAACATTATCTTTTATCACTGGAGCCTACGCGTAAAATTGGTTGGACAACTCACCGATATGGCCTCGAACTTTGCATTAATTATCGTTTGTGCATAAGTGAGGTATGAGAATCTTGGATCCCTGTATTTGAACGTTGTCAAGTTGTGTGACTTGCTGATTTTGTGAAGGGCGTTGGCAAAAACCCAGACGGCATCGAACGCAAATGAGGCAAATGTGTAAGCATGTGGTACACGTCTCTTCAGGGCGGAGAAGAACTCTGGAGCAGTCTGAAATGAGCGATTTTGGATTGGTTGATCATTTGAGTGAGAATATTTTCTTTAATGATCATTGCTTTGTGCATTATAATGCTTCATGTTTGAATTATTTTTCTTTGACGAACACTTTAGATTCTGCATTGGCGGGTGTCAGTAAAAATGTGATGATGAGCAAAGTCAAAAAAATAATTCCAAAAATTTCTAAGTTCAGTAAAAATGCAGATTTTTAATTGTATAATAACAACGTCTGGCTGTATAAATGTTCAATCATGAACACAGACTATTTAGTTTTTAAATCTCTTATAGATGATTTAGAACGTCCAAAATGTTAAAGAGAAATTATATTACCAGCCCACTCTGTGTTCTTTTGCCATCTGTCCGCAGATCAAGTCTTGTGACGTAAAAATATCCCTCAATTGCAGTTCTTAAATGTTCTGGATTACAATAATTATATGGCTTCATATTTTTGTACCAGTTTTTGTCCAGCGCTGCACTTGCAAACCAAACATATTTTTCTCCATACATGTTTTGCTTGTAAGCCTAAAAAAGACAACAGTCACACCTTCGTTTCAAATTTTGCAACTACATGCAGCTAAGAGAAAACAGTGACGTCATTCTCCCAAAACATCAGGCGAGTTGCATTTGTTTTTTGTTGGTATTTCCAATCACTACATTTTCAAGGGCAATCAACAACATAAATCTCATTTTCAAACGTTTGTTTAGATAAAGATCTTTTTATGGAAATAGAACTTACTTCACAAAAGACGGACTGGGCACCCCAACTTGACAGTTCTGTGAAAATGATTCTGGCATCGAGTTCCTAAAAGAAGAAAGGATGCTGAGTTAAGCATGACAAAAGAGTCTAAAATGAAACATTATTGTGCGGGTATCCAGTTTCAAAATTATCTTAACTTAAAATCACAGTTCAACGGACGCAAGTTCTCGAGTGTCAACCATATTTGCAAAACGTTTCACCTTCTCTCCTGTTTAAGTTAATATTGACAGGAAAAAGTAGCAAAACTGGATGGTTGTTTCCACATGAGTTCAATTCATAATGCGTTCACTTTGTCACTGGATAACAATGCTTAAATATGCAAACAATTTTTTGGTGGTACAAAACTTGAAAATGGCTTTGAAAAAAGCAAACATTTAGTGAACTAAAGCTTTAGTTTACTAAATGTTTGATTTTTTCAAAGCCATTTTCAATGCTTAAATACTTGACTAAAGTGGTGACTGCCTTGAATAGAACAAATTCTTTTAAACAGGTGAATATTAATCAAACATTCGCCATAAACGCCTTGTTCTTTTCGTTGACTATAATATGAAGTTTTTTAAGGCCCTGGAAACAGCTATGGGGGTGATAAGATGTAAAGCGAAAGTTTTAAGCAATTTCGAATGAGCTTTGTTACTTGAACGAGGTATCCTGTCAACAGAGCGTCCGTAAAGCGAGGCAGTAGTGAAAAAGAGGCTCGTCAAGTAACTCTAGTGGCGAATGAAGCTGCGAAAGTTTTCGAGAGAACCATTGACAAAGAGAAAAATGTAAACTATAAATATTTCAAGAAAATCAAATAATCAGATTATGCAGACCTTAAGTTTCTTAACTTCCGCGGCAGCTGTGCCTCCAAAGTCACTTGCAAATCCTTCAATTGCTACAACTTCGACGCCATTTTGTTTCAGCAACTTCTGCAGCTTATCGATAGCCTAAAATTCCAAATAATGTTTCAACTTTGAAAATCAGCTCAAATAAAATGAATGTATTCCAGAAAGAAAGATTGTTTTCTAGGCGTAGCAACTAATCAGCTTTATGTTTCACTAATTTATCTGCATTAACAAAGAAGGGGAAAAGAAGATGAAAACAAAAGCGTTAATGGCAAAAACAGAAAAAATCGGAAAAAAGTCGTGATGATTTGTACACAAATATTAAAGACTTTTAGCCAAAAATTTATCAAATAAAAAAGTTTCCAAGAAGGAAAAGGAGGCAAAAATAAATACAGATTACCTCGAAGTGGAAAGGAGGCAAAAATAAAAGCAGGCTACCTCGAAGTGGAGGGTTTGACTATAGTCATAGAGGAGTCCAACTCGCGCCCATTTAAAGTGCTTCAACCAAGCCAGTTTTGCGTCATTAAACGACAGCATTGATGGCGTGGTTCTGAAGAAATACGGGTACTTTCTGCGATTGATCAACTTTGGCAACAGAGACGCGTACGTTATCTAAAATTAGGAACATTTTTAACGATAAATACATGAATATTGACTCTATCTATTTAAAAACATTTGGGTTCTGTGTGGCAATAGAAGATATTGCAAAGATTAGAATAAAAATACAAGCCAGGACTTAATGCCAAATCTTTGGTTTAATATATGATAATTTAAAGCATTGCTAATAAATGATACAGATTATCATAAATTACCTGTGGTATGGCATAGACTAAACCAACATTTGCCACTGGGTTTGCTGCCTGCGAGTAGGCAGGACCAATAAGACCAATCTTTGTCGGTTTATTTGTCACAAAATCTATGAATGACTTCAAAGCCACAGGTGCGTCTCCCTGTTAGAAAGAAGAAACAACAATTTGCTTAATTGAAATATTAACAGCTTACGGGGGTGGGCCGAGGCTATTTAGTGATTGTCTTTGAGGATTAAAGAAGGGACTCGAAACACTGCATTGTTCTTCAAGATGCAAAATGGCCGCTTTTGAGTGAAATTCTCATACTACAGGCAACGAAATATCAAGCGAAAAATCTTGCATGATTGTCTTAGAAAGACAAAAAACAACTGGAATCGAAATCAATGGCAATATAAATTCATGCAACTGTGATGATTCGTTATATTGGTGACGTCAAAGTAAAGACGAATAGAATAAACAGCCATGTAAAGTTTGATTTAAGCCCTAGACTTACGAAAGTCTCTCCAAAGTGAACTTGGATTTTGTAATCAGGTAAAATATCAGATCTGTTGTTGATGATCTCAACAGCCATATCAATTGCAGCTTTGTATCCAAATCGGTCCTTTCCATTTGGAACACCATAATCAATAAAATATTCCAAGAAGGGCACAAACGCACCAAAGTGAATTGTGGAAGTCTTGTTTGGATAAACAGCCGTGACACAATGAGATGTTACAAGCAAGGTGGTTATTAGAAACAGCAACATTTTGAATCTGCAATCCAAAGACAATGGTTAGTTAGGTCCAAGGAGAAATGTTTATTTGTAAAAGGAGGCCAATAGTTACCTAGCATTATAAAGGCTTACTAGTTAGACACATGCTTCTAATAATATTTCATATACAAATCGATACACTCTTTCTTATATAAGAACCAGTTAAATTAAGTCAAGGCTTGCTGTTCTTCAGTATAAATAAAATCTTTGAAATTCTTAATTTGCTGTTTAATAATTAGGGTGTCAGCAATGCAATTGATCACTATTGCGCTTTAGGAAAGTGTACAGGCCTCGTTTGCACACAAAGTGAGTGAGACATCCTCTATTTGGCGAAATTCCCTCAATGAGGCACCCCTAGATTGCAAAAAGCTCCTCGTTTTTTAAAAGAAACATTTTTCAAAGTTTCATTTTGCAGTAGCTCAACCTCAGCTTGGTCTTTATTTGTTCTTAACTTTTGACCAACCTAAGGCTTGTATTCTTATAAAAAAAGTGTGTATAACATGCATCAAGTAATTGTTAAAAGATTAAAAATGGTAAAGCACTCTTGATATGGGGATGGTGTTATGTCATTGGGCAAAGTGTGGTATCAACACGTAGAAAAACCTTGCTCTTTGCCTTTTCTCTGGCATGGTGGGAAATTTCTCACAAAGAGAAGCCATAAAAATATACCCATCAGAAAGTCTCAGCTTGAGCGCAAATTATTTCCTGGTTTGACGAGTTGTACTTCGCTGGAAATCCACAGATGGAAATTATCTCTTTTGTTTAAGAAACTGCCAGATTCTCGTTAAATCATGGCAGGCAAAGATATGTTTTCAGCGTTTTGAAGGCAATAATTAATTAAAAGTGTAAACAAATGAAAGTAAAGTTGACATTGTTAGGGCATTTCAGAGGTTCTTCTGCTGAAAGTATTTACACTGCATGGCTGTTTTCTGATTCAGTTGGTATCAAATGCAGCTAAGCGATGTTCCATGCACCTGTCGTTGTAAAGTGAAATGCAAGTTCGCAGTGAGTCCCACAGCAGCGTTTGCATCTTCAGCCAAAAAGGCACTTCTACCGCAAAACAGGACCTAGCCAAGTACATCCTCCCCGCCCCCTCTCCCCCCCCTCCGATCTACTGGGCACAGACATGAGGCGTTTTATGAAAAAAGATACTCATAAACAGCCTGGGAAGGGGGTGGCGAAAATCATGGATTGATTTATCATCAACAGTTGTCAGTACTACCATCAAGTACTTCTAAATGCCGTTCAAACTTCAAACGACTGCTGTAAATTTATAGCGAACATGAAGATAAATGAAGATGAATGAAGAGAAATGGGACAACAATAACGTTAAGTATTAACACTTTCAGGTCTGTTTTTGGCTTTTTAAAAAATCTCTCACAAGAAACAATTTAAACCATTTGAATACTGAAGAGGGAATAAAATTTCTAAAAGGGATCTGAATTTCAAATTTGGAGGCATGCAAAAGGTCGGGGACAACGGCTGCATACGGAATGTTTTTTATACTACTTGAAAATATATAAACTAAAGCACATAGAGTAGAATTAACTCTACGACAAATTAAAATATCGTAAGACTTAATCATAAGACGTGAGTGCCATAATCGAAATTCCGGAAGATGAGATTTTTTAATAGAAAAAACATGTACGTTTTGTCTTCGGAAATTTATAGTAAAAATGCATGCCGCTAGAGACTTTGATATTATACAATATCAAGGTGTCAGATATATGTTGGATAAGTAAGAATTAGTTATATCGAAAGATTGTCACCTTTCGTCGATACTGCTTTTCTTTCGTCAGTTCCTGTTCAAGAGAATCACCAGAAGCTTCGTCGATCCACCCGGCAACAAGCCCTGCACAATTAAAATGAATAACGGCAAATGAAACCAGGAGTGCATACGGATGCTAAAACAATTAACGATCATAAGAGAGCAAGAAACAATCACAACTAGAGACTCAAAAACACATAAAAATACGTTGCCACTGACATAGTAGTCTTAATTACCTCATTAATTTACTTGAACTTCGCCTACACTTCTGATTGCTTTTGTTTCTCAGTTACAGTTCATCTTTGTGTCACGGAAGTTATCAAATGTGTTAATATTTCCCATAATTTTGTTTGCGACGCTCACTAAGCCCTTCGAAGTAATTGATCATGGTTTCTTGCCACCGTCATTTCCTTCACCTTTGTCAAATTTTAGCACCAGTTGCTCGTCAAATGCATTGTCGTTTATCAAACACTTTCTATGTGAGCTGTGTTTGGACTTCGCGGCAAACAAACAATAGTCAACACGGAGGAGTATTTTTAACAATATTCTCCTTCACAATACCTCGAAAAAGTCTCCAACGCATGGTTTCGTGGGATTGGCCAATAGATAACATCTTCTAGTTGCTTTGCTTGTCCAGTCGGTGAATTCTTAATAATCTGGAGTCAATTATTCCAATAAAATTCCAAATAAATAAAATTCCAATAAAGTATTTGGATGAAAAGACCTCAGTTGGTCTTCGGAATGCGAATTGAAACGTCAAAAAGCCCCCCTTAACACAATAATACGTCTTGTTTTGGAGTTTTCTAATTTCTTTTAACGACCTTTCTAGATGTATCTAGCCTATTCACGTCTACAGGAAATCTGTAACTTATTTAACATATTGAAAATAAGAATTTTCATACATTTTAGGGTTTTGTGTTACTGTCTCTCAAAGCTTCTGGCTTTAGAATATAACCCGAAATTGAGTTGGGAAGAACAAAACATAATCTTTTAACATTCGGAGTTTTGAAATTGGAAGATAAATCTCCAGCCCCAGAAATCACGCATTTTGAAATATTCGAAGAACATCAACCTTCAAATTTTTAATAAACCCCTCCTTTTAATGAATGCCACATCAAGTTGGCTATGTCAAGGGAGTTTAGGTAAAACCTTGTTGAGTAAATCTAAAGAAAGGATTGTACAAAAATGCTAAAATCAAAAATGCTTAAGTCATTTCAAAAGGCCCATTTGTATCTCAAGGGACAGTTTTGGAAATTTTCCGAAGTGGATGAACTTACTCAGTACATCCTCTGTTATCATTGTATAAATTCGGTATTTATCTAACGAAGCTCTCTCAACTTGGGGCCAACGCCTTACTAAAAATGAGGTTACTGCACAAGGGCAACCTTTGCTTGATAAACTATGAAAAAGGCCAAAACCAACTGATTAACTTGACAATAAAGGCTTTATTTCTCTTTAGAGGCCTACACTGGGGTGTGTACATCTCTTATCGATTTCGTGCTTGGCCTCGCTATAGGTTAATCGGAGCGGCCTCGAGCCCGTCATGGTCTTCGTCAGATGGCATGTTCCACTATTTTATTGTCACTGTTTACCAGATGATCCAAGATACGCATGCATAGAGAAAATATTTGCGCTTTATAAAACTCAATGTAACTATTCACAGTTACATAAAAAAGCCTCGAGCGTTAAACAAAACATTATTGAATTTATCAAATAAGACTTTAAACAATATCCACAACGACATCACAATCTACTTACATGGTAAGATTTGCTACAATTTAAAATAACAAAAATGCCTTAAAATGCAAATCAAATTAACGAAAATAAAAATCGAATAATAAAATTGGGGATATTTAGGGATACCTGCCTCGAATACACGATTTCAATAACCAGCCTCGATCAGGAAATTATTCAAAGTTGTGTAGCACGAATTTTCGAGTCCTGGTTCAGCAAAACGACGTACAGTATGTACAAGAAAGATCTCCATTACCTTTATCATGTGTCCTTCTAGATTCGATCTGAAATTTAATGAGCAACCAAGACTGAAAACTACTACGCCACTACGTATTCATAGCAACCAGGTTTATATTTTACTGGTATCTGCCAGGTATCACAAGCAATGAGCATTTCATGCAAGCTATGTTATGAGCCAAAATTACAATATTCGATCTCCAATTAGTAAAATTTCAATTTAGCAATATCCATATTTTGAAGGAAGCACTTCCCTTTCCGTTCATCTTTTCTAGGAGCAGTGTGCTGCTTCGCGGCGAATCATTAGCAACCTGCCTCAATTTCGGGATCTCATTTATTCGTAAATCATTCTCTTTTCTTGAGTGAAGCTTCCGTCTTGCTAGAGTGGACAAGGCTTCCTACCAACGTCTACCTTGCTTTGTTTCAACTTTCTCAACTTCATTTTTCATTCTCTTTTTTCGTATGTGTGGCTTGTTTAAAGTCTTTAAGCAACTCGCCAAGTCTGGAGATGAAATAATATAACTGCAAACTAACAAAGATATACAGTTCTGTCAATGTATCGCCTTCGATTTTAATATTCAAGGTTGTGAGATAAAGAATATAAAGAAAATCACAGGTACAGGTGTCATAAAACTGATACAAGTTCAGGTTGTCATAAATAGCTAGATTGTCAAAAGACTTATAATTTACATCGTTTGACCTTTCAGTAAGGCTAAATGCTGCCAAGGACACAAAAATTTACAATCATTTTCGTTGAATGAATAGTAAAATGTACGCTATGCCTTGCTAGGCCATATTTGAAGAATAATAAATGTTTTTTGCATACAACAGAAAAGCTTGATTTCTAAATTTTGTAGAGCTGATTAAACGTTCTTAAGGAATGCTTTTCCCCTTTATTTAACACCTCCATGCTTGGTTGTATACTCATTGGCGAAAGTTTTGAAAAAAAGTGAAAAGATGAAATCGTTGTTTTTAACTTATTGAAATCTGATTCTTGTACGTTAAATTTCACCTCACCTCTCGAGTTCACCTTCGTTTTCCGCTATTAGCGATACCGGATCTACCGATCTAAAGATGCGAAAGGCTTTTATGTATCAAAGAGGAATAAACGTCGCAAATATGCTAGCAGGTGGTAGAATACACATGGAAGATAATATCAAACAGTGACTTCAAAGAGTGGAAAAAAACGGCGCCTAATCAAAAATAAAAATTTTGACAATGAAAATTCACAGAATCTTTTTAAAAATTCAGACTGTTTGAAAATGAACGAGAATGTTTAGACACAATAAATTTAGTTTAACTTGATTTATTACAGCCATGTTTGGTTCTGAATGGGAGATAGCTCATAAAAACAAATAACAAGAAATTACTAAAGATTAGCTGCTGTTTTCAAAAGGAAGATATATAAATCATAAGTGCAAAGCTATTTGATATAAAGAAAAGATGACCGAGGACGGAAATTCTAAAGAAACAAACTTACTCTTTTTGGGTATCCTCGATGATCGAGGTAAGGGCGTTGGTGACAGAATCAAAACCAGAAGAATACGGAGATGTATTTTCCTATTTTGAAAAAAATTGAAAATGATACCGAAAGCAAACAAAATAGAGATATATGATTTTCTCCCACCTGAGTTCAAGCATAAAGCTCCCCAACCCTAAACGCACAAAACTCAATGGATTAATATTTTCGAATCCGACCTTCTAATAACAAAAACAAATCATTCCTTTCAGATTATTGAAGCGCACATCTCTGCCCTTTTTTTGACGGTGATAAAGTGATAAAACATGACTTAAAATGCAAAAATTAAAAGAAAACTCCAAAGTTGTTATGGGCAGCGGTCAAATCACCCTATCAATTTTAAACTGAATACTAAATGTCATAGGCATCTCTGAAGTCGAAACGGGCTGCAACAGAAAACAAACAACCGGGGGGGGGGGGGGGAATTTAAACTAAATGACACTTTTAGATAAAACTGGGCTGGTCAAAACGAAGAAACAATTTTAAAATCAGCATTTCAGAACTTTTTAATAGAACAACGAAATAAGACAAAAACATTTCCACTGCGTCTCTTAATGAAAATTTCAACCAAATTTTCTACAAAATGTCTTACCGCAGGGCTGATTAAAGTCTTCCAAGTTAAATCTTGTTTTTGTTTCATCATCTAAAACAATTCAGTTAAGAACCAAATGATAGTAATGCAATAAAAGGCATAATTACATTTAGATGACTGAATATATCTTGAAAAAACTTGAATGAAAAAGTTATAACTGACTGGTCTCGTTTGCAGCTTCTACCAGGTGAGCAATAAAGGAGGCGCCATGAGTAAGGGGGCTCGATAATAAAGAAATCCTTTCATAAGAAGCCTACAATAAAAAGTTAAAATAAACACAATTTGTGATTTCCAGTCACCTTGTTGAGCTTCTCCCTATGTCCTCGTAGTGTATCTATAACACTTTTCAACTCTGGAACCAGTTTTTCCATGTTTTGTTTACAACTGAGTACTTTCCTATAGACAAAATATATAAAGAACTATCTACAGTATGTCTTTTACAGAATTTATATTACCATAAGAAGTCTTAACAATAGAATTATCAATGTGGGTCACGTCATTGACACATTCATTTACAAATCCTGCTTTTCCCACCTTTAGCATTGGTTTGACTGTCAATATACGTATTGTATTGTATTGTATTGTATTGTATTGTATTGTATTGTATTGTATTGCATTGTATTGTATTGTATTTTATTGTATTGTATTTTATTGTATTGTATTGTATTGTTTTGTACTGTATTGTATTGTATTCTATTGTATTGTATTGTTTTGTATTGAAATATATTATATCGTATTGTTTTGTATTGTATTGTTAAGTGCTGTATTGTACTGTATTGTATTGTATTGTATTGTTAAGTGCTGTATTGTACTGTATTGTATTGTATTGTATTGTTAAGTGCTGTATTGTATCGGTTGTATTGTATTGTGTCGTACTGTATCAATTATGTTGTATTATATCGAATCGATTGTAAAGTGCGGTATTGCATAGACTGTTTTGTGTTGCATTGGGCAAAAAGCTACACACCTTAGTTGTTCATAAAAACTTGATTCCAGTGGATCCCATATAGTCGGGATTTGATGAACCAAATTAGCCAAATATTCGCTATGCATCTTTTCTTGTACGGCTATGAACATGAAGACTACAAATTAGGAATGGTTGATACACATCAAACGAACATTTGTTTAATTCATCAATTCTGAAAAACTATTAACAGCATACAATTCAACGTGCAACCGACAAAAAAAATTGAAAAGCAAAAATGAAGAAATTTCAGAAGTCGATGTAAAAAATAGAAAAGCAAACTAGGTAATTTTTTGAAAAATGTACAACATGAGTATTTTCACGATTTTCAATCAATGTGGTTGGCTAGTTGGCACACAAATTCTTTACGACCAATCCAAAAAATCTTAAAAATCTCTAGAAATGAAATCAAAATGAAAAATGCAAAACAAAAACTTTTCCACGCAGGAAAAATTCAGAGAGGACCTAAATATTAAATATAATGAAGTTTAGATTTAGAAACATACAAAAACATTATTAAAGTTTAGATTAAGAAATAACTGACATTAGAAGCAGCATTGAGAGACCGGGGCACTTAATGTCGACAGCTGTTTTGAATGCCAGAATGGGTGCGTTAGGCCAGAATGCGTGCGTAAGGCTTTTCTGTCATTACAGTTTGTTTGGATGTCCAGACTATATCTTCGAAGCTTTTGGATGTCGAAGTTTCTAAAACTCATATTTCTATTTTACCAACTTACAATGATCGTATTTCAGAAGTTGGTCCAGGTGGCTTTCGGCCAATTTTGATCTAAATGAATATAAAACGCTAATATAATTATCAAAAAATAAAGCTCACGGAGTTATAAAGTCTTAATTAAAACTAAATTGAATATTATCTAAAATAACAATGCACATAAAAATGAAATCAACCGTAAATTATCCGATTGCCCTCTCGCTAACATAAGCCCCCTCTCGAATAAGTCCCCTCTCAAATAAGCCCCCTTCTGGTTGAAACATTGTTACTAACAGCCCCAACTTAAAACGTGATGAATGATTAAGAATGCTCTAGCGAAAAATGAATTTATAATGCAACAACATTGATGAAAAGACTGCCGAAAACAATTGATAGCAATACTTTAGATTAAAATACATTGTTTTGGTATTTTGGTAAGAGATTGAGTACCGTTGCAAATTAATCAAAGTTGAAACAAAGCTAGCAAACGAGGTAATTTGTTTAAAGGCAACAGGATTTTTAAAAATAATTAGTAGAGAGCTGATTTGTGTTGCAATTTGGAGATGACTCCAGCTTTCATCCGAATTACACAAACCTGTATCCAAGACACGAGTAGTTCCAAAAATAAAAATCTGACATGACACATGGTCATCGGTTAATACATGTGGCAATCGCCATTTATTTATTTGCTAGTTTTCAATTGTTCGTGGTTGACTCTGCATTGAAACCAGTGAAAAACCGCCGGGGGGGGGGGGGTACTCTCATTAAGGCCTGACAGGGGGATCCAGTCCGTTTGAGGGCCTTATCAAATGGCCCATCTTCGATGATGACTGAACTGCTCAGTTTAGCTTGCGATTTGTTTTAGGTAATGAACAAGATTTTTTTTCCCGAAACAACAACAATCAATTATGAAGAAATTTGTCAAAAATGGATGCTACCAAGGAAATAATTTCGGTTTTTACGCTACCGTTTGAGGGTTTTTAGCAAAAAAAACTACCATTTGATAGTAATTTTTTTAAATTTTAGCGTTGGTCCTCTTTGAACCTGACTGGACCCCCTGTCAGGCCACAATGGGAGTACCCCCCCCCCGGGAAAAAACGCTTTTCGATCAAAGTTTGATGCTACTAGCTGATCCCAAAATTAGCTGAAAATCCTTCAGCATACGATTTCAACCAACAGAAAAGCAAGCATACATTTTGTCAAGCTTTGTGTCTTGGTTCGCGATGAGAGAGTTGTTCTTCAGGCTGATGAGCTCCCTCTGTGCACTGGTTATCCGTGAACTGATGTCTTGAGCAATATCCTGCAAGCAAGTGAAATTCTCACAGATACCAGTAATTTACAGAACAAATCATCATCAAGCTTAAATTTTCTCCAGAAATTTTCAAGACATATATTCTTTAAGCAATGAAGAAAATGTTTGAGTGATTCATAGTGAAACTGGATGTCAGTTCTAACCTCTTGGTACGCTTTTGCTATGTCAATCATTTTCTTCAGCTCTTCCGAGTAATACTTGTTGGCTACGATGAAAGTAGATGCACTCTCAAAAGGAAGATAAATATCAGATCGTAAAATATATAAGCGACGACAAAATCATGGTTGGCAAGAGCTAGGTATTTCAGCATTTGCTTTCGAATATGCTTTAGAGAAAGGAGAAATGAAAGAGGGGATCCTCTTCTAGAAATCATTATTGCTCCAGTTATCCTCGGTTATCTTTAAAAGTTTGCCAATTTTCAGCTATGGCTACCAAGATGACAAAAATTGCCAAAAAGGAACCTGACAGTTCAGTAGCAGTCTGACATGTCATCAAATCCTTTGTCACTAAACGTTTTCCTGGAGATGTATACTTAAGACAGCTTATGAATACTTACATGAATTTCGGTTAAACCCAATTTCGTAAAATAACTTCAAGTCATGTTCACAGCTGTGAGAAAAACACAAAACAAAGTAGGTTTAGTGGGAAGTTAAGGAGAACTTGCCAAATCTTTCAGTACTTGGTTGTTGGACCAAAGTGTTCCTTGATATGTGGGTAAAGGGTAACCACGCTTTACAAAAAACTGATTAGCGAAGAGCAATTAAGTCTATATTTCAAAAAATTGAGGACAATAGATTTAGCCAACCATCCTTCAAAATGGACGAAGAAATATTACGAAGTAATGATGAATACTTCATAGGCGTCTCGCCAAACCCGTAATTCGTCAATAAATAAAAAAATTTTTCGTGAGAATGCTGGGTCAGTTTTAGAAAATTCAAACCATTTTCACTGAAGATATAATTCTCTATAAATATTTATTTTAGGAATAAAAAACAATAAACTTTGAAGGGGGTTGACGCTAAATATATGATTTTCTTTCAAAGTTTCAGGCACCGCGGAGCAGGGGTTGTCTAGCCCCCCCCCCCCACTTTTCAAAAAATGCCAAATATTAAGTATCAAACTACCAGAAAAGC